ATGGTTTTTACACTAGGATTTCAGTCCAGCACAATAATAATAATAATCCTTGCATTTGATACAGCGCTTTTCAATAGTGAGGATGTAACATTTTCTATCGTACCCACGTGACTTGTGGAAACCACTAATTGCAATGCAATTAGCCCCGCTACAGAAAATGCGTTTCGCCCACATAATATAAAGTCAATTCAGTTTATGGTATATTCTGTGAAGGGCTTTGTGACGTCTAGAAGGTGTGAAAAGCACTATAAGAAATACAAGGATTTATCATTGTTATTAATATAAGTGTTTAACTTTATCTGTTGTTCTTGAACTGTATAAGAGGGTGATGTTGTAAAGTTTTAGGTAAGCAGCCTGTTGGACATTGGAATACATGAAAATTTGTAGGTATAAATGTATCCCCTTTCTCCCCCTACCCCAAAGTATATTAACCAGTAACAGCACTGGATTTGGTCCTGGGTAATGTGGATTGAGTACCGACAGGACTGATTTTTAGCAGCAGAAATCACTTAACATGTTTAGGTTGACATCTTGCTCTGAATAGCATTGCAGTGCTCGGCATTGACTGCATGTGTTAGCTTACTGTATCACATCTGCTCGTCTGGAGCACTAATGGTCTGGCTCCCTTTAATGTATGAAGTGCCCAGCATGCTTCCTGGTGAAAAATGGACAGACTGGCTCTAGTTAATAGTACGTTTAGGTAAATAAATCATTTTCCATGTGTTTCCTGGTGAGTACTGGCTCGAATGAATAGTCGTGCATTGTGGGCTGCATACATTTAAGTGGCTCGCTAGATCTAGAGGGTATACTTTACAAAGCCGTCCTTATGCAATTAGGGGCGTTCTATTTTCATATAACTTGGGCATTGCAAGACCGTCATATCATAACCCTAGTGTGTTCGAGCAGAACGTTACCAGAAATGGAGCAATATAAACATTGTGATGGGGTGCAAGCACTTTGTGATTGTGAACATTATTCTCTCCTTTTTTTCTTTCTGTGGTTTGCTCCCCCCCCCCCCCCCCCGCCCCCATTCCCCCAAAAAGTTTGTGATAAGCCAAATGTTTTCTCTTGGAGAAGTCTGATTGTGACGTCTACCTCTCAACTGAGTTTGTAGTTAAGTGCTTGAATAGATGTACTGGGTCAGATACAGCTTTTATTTGTTGGAAGTTGTCGATTATCTGAGGCAGATCATCCAATGTGGCAGTTGACTGGGCAGAGATCCCTTCAGCAGATATACATTCAGCTTTTCTTTGAATGGAATCACTCTTTAAAAGCAATCTTTAAATGGAATCACTTTAAACTGCCAGACACCTGTCACTTAGTAAATGATTAAAGCTTCTAAGAGCAACTTCAGTGATGGTATAGTCCGTGTTCTATACTTTACTGCAGTTTTAAGGGTTACCTCTATACTGTACTATATGCTGTGCTTGACAAGTCTTGCTGTAAAACTCCTAGCCCTGCTACAGAATATTAGCGCTGGTTTCAGTGCAAGTAGGCAGCAGAATAAAAATATGCCTGTGCTTCAGAAACAAATATAAGTTCACTCTTGTTTCTCCCCCACTCGCTCCCTCTCCCACCCACTCCCTCCCCCATCGCACCTCAAGACAAAAGTCTCTCTGTAAAGTGGTTTATGTGGATTTTGCCTCCAAACCAGGGACTTGTGGTTTGCAGTCTTGGGAAATAGAGATTACCTGTTGTGGGAGTGAGCCCTGAAGGGGAGTAGGGTGTGTTACTTAAAAAAAGGAACAGACTTTGTCTGGTACATCCCACCCCAACTGAATACACTCCAGCTGTTAAAATACAGAGGGTCATTGACATCTGTGGTTTGTTTGTCCGTACTATGTGTCGTGGCCAGTTGCATAAATGGTGGGGGTGGGGGGCAATGTAAATGAATGTTAACACTGTTTAAATTGACACTTGAGGCTTTTATTCTGATTAGGACGGAGGAGAAAGATCACTTTCACTCGGAGCCTGTCTCTGCCTGTAAATGAATGGAAGAAAAGGTTTCACTGGGGCTGGTAGTGTAATTGTGGGCATTGGTACAGTATTTAAACTAAAGTTACACTGACCTGCTAAGTATAGTTGAACACTGCCATCCTTACACATGTAAAACTGTTTCTTCCCTTCCAAGGTACCAGGGCTAATTTTAATTGCTGAGGTGCCAGTGATGGACTCCCTTTCAGTGGTTATGCTTGAGAACAGTCCATTGATTTAGATCCCAAAGCAGTGGGCACTTTTGACCAGTTTTTCTTCACTGTGCAGTTTGTGTAGCAAGTGGGAGCAAGACAGTTTAATGCACAATGGGTATAAAATAAAGTTCCTATTTGTGGTTTTACAAATCGTTGTAAATGTAATAAAGAAAAATTGCATTTTATGGCGATCTCAGGTTGAAACTCCTCAGAGAACTTCGCAGTAAATAACTCGAATGTAGTAACTTTTTTTTGTAGGTAAACGTGACAGCTAATTTGTGCACAAGCGGCAATGAGCTGAGTGACTTGTTTATCTGGAGCATTGCTGTCTGCTGCACTAAGAGGAACTCCTTTTTCTTTTTGAATGGTGTGATGAGATCTTCAGGCATTCTGAAGAACAGGCAGGCAGGATCGCCGTTTGATTGGAATGCAGCGCTTCCCCAATACTGCACTGTAGTATAAAGTTAGATAATGAGCTCAAATCCCAGCTTGGTGTTTGAAACCACGATCTCCTGACTCAGAGGTGAGAATGCTACCCTCTGAGCCAAGCTAAAGGGTAAAAGTTTAAGTATTGCTGCCAGTCCCATCATTCTGCCTCACAGATGGCAAAAACCAGAAGCCTCAGGGTACTGTAGATCTGCTTTTATTTGGACCTTAGGGCAACAATATGCCATTATATTGTATGAGTAAGTAGGTTAGGAAGCTCTGCCCTATGCTCTTTTGTGCAAATTAGATACAGATGGAAGGAGAGCGTTCAGACCTTGGGAGTGAGGTGTCTTGCAGATAAAGACAGACTTACAACATACATTACATTTAATCTCCAAGAATGGTCCTTTTTTAATGTTTTGATATTTGACTTAAAATTATGTTTATAATTTGTGTAAAATAGTTTGCACAGTCAAACTTTTTAAAAAAATAAGTCTCCCCTTCCTTCTGTGCGGGTATGAGTAGGGTTCCAATGGCTCTCCGATCCCTCAACCCCTTGACTGGTGGGGCGGGCGAGGCAGGGGACAGGTGTCCCCACCCTCTAGAACTCCACTCTGCAGTCTGTTCGCCTCTCCCCTTCCCTTGCCTCCTTCAAGACCCATCTCAAGACCCTCCTCTTTGACCATGTCATTGGTCACCCCTCTTTCCACCCTCCCTGATCCCGACCCCAGCTCAGGTCTGAAACACTGTTCTTGTTTTTCCATGCACGTTCATGAACTATCAGCAGGAGTCATTGCATGGAGATAATAATAATAATAATAATAATAATAATAATCCTTGCATTTGATATAGCGCTTTTCACGTCTTCTAGACGTCCCAAAGCGCTTCACAGAATACTGTAAAGTGAATTGACTGTATATTTGTGGGCGAACGCGTCAGCCAATTGCGCACAGCAGTGTCCCACAAACAGTCGTGGATTGAAAATGACCAATTTATTATTGTTTTGTTTTTTTGGAGGAATTATTATTAGGTGAATGGAGTAAGGAAACTTGCCCAAGGTTTCGCCCTCTGCCTGGAATTGAACTCGGGTCTCTCACTTGCAAAGCGAGTGCTCTAACCACTGAGCTACAGGACTCCACAGAAGCAGACTGATTTTACCTCCCTATCCCAGGTCAATCATTTCAGTCAGCTAACTCAGATTGGAGATCGAGCCTGAAACTTTACCAGTCTGGCACAGTATCCATTGGGTAAATTCCCTCAACTATTAGAGGAGCACAATAAAACGAATTAGTAATGCGATAAGATGTTCCCCCACTAATTTCAAAAACTCAGATATTGCTACCTATAATAATAATAATAAATAATCCTTGCATTTGATATAGCGCTTTTCACGTCGGGAGGACGTCCCAAAGTGCTTCACAGAATATACTGTAAAGTGAATTGACTGTATATTTGTGGGCGAACGCCGCAGCCAATTGCGCACAGCAATGTCCCACAAACAGTCGTAGATTGAAAATGACCAATTTAATTATTGTTTTTGGTTTTGGAGGGATTATTATTAGGTGTGTGGAGTAAGGAAACTTGCCCAAGGTTTCGCCCTGTGCCTGGAAATGAACTCAGGTCTCTCACTTGCAAAGCGAGTGCTCTAACCACTGAGCTACAGGACTCCACGAGCGACCTATGGGATTATAAGAGCAATTAAATTGGTGAAGTAGTCTGGATATAAGAAATAAACTCTTATGATTTGGAGTTACTGAAAGAAGTGGTCATAATGTCCTTTGTTTCAGCATTGCAAAGTTTATTAGCATGTGTGGAATGGCTAAACCATTCCAGATTGTGTGCTTGTGAGCGAGTGAATCCGTCTTTCAAAGAGTTTTCTAATGACCAGTGATTTATTGCATCCAATTCGCTAGAGGCAATACAAACACTATTGTGTGTTTAGTTTATGCGAATATCTTTAGAATAGAAGCATTTCAAATGAAACCTATGGTACTGGTTTGAGGCCTGGTTGTGTGATTCATACGAGTCTGAGTTCCTGATCATTTTGTATATGTGAGGACTTTCTGTCCAGGTGATTAGACTGTCATTGATGGATCAGGAATCAACCTTTCAGTGTTGTGCTGCAACACAGCCTTTGGATTTTCTCACCTGAAGGAGTTCCTAATCTCGGCTGGTCTCCTCGGCAGCTAATCACAGGAGCAGAGGTCTGGAAGCAGATCCCTGTTTGCTTTAACAACAGGGAAGCAGCATGGGAAGGTACAAGGGGGAATAAATAGTATAAAATAAAGCTTTTTTATGAATTGCATTTTTATCTTGATTTGTTTTCACAAAAAATGTGTATTGGTTAAAATGCTAACGTTTCTGCTTTTTCCATCTTCACATCAGATTGGTTCAGTGGAGGAGCTGGATCCAGTGGGTTTCCCCTTCAAAAGTCCCCTTCTCTTTTTATGATTTACCAATGGAGTCTCCAGTCCATGTGCTGCACCATTAGTGATTGTAGCAGCCTGCTACCATGGAGAAAAAACGGAGAAAGAAATGAGAGCCTTCAGAGCTGGGCTGTACTGCCAACCATGAGAGCAGAAATAACCTCTTGTGCTAACTGTTCGTGCAAATCAAACAGCAACAAGAGAATATTATCAGTGCGGAAAATGAACTAACCCAAGTGGACAGTACAAACGGATCGGATTTCTGGATCTTCGAAACTATTTATGATCTTGTGACCATGCGATTGGCGAGCATCTGGCTGCTGTTGGTAGTGATTATATTGTGCAGTGGGGGACGTCTCGGTACAGAGCTGCGAAATAGGAGTTCCATAAGGGGCACCGTCCTTTGTCCAAATTGTACCAATCTGTCGCTGAAGGTGGAATACACTTCCATTGCTGTGGAGCATGGTAAGTCAATGGCTGATCAACACTCTAGAGTTTGTGGAGTCCTGTAGCATATTGGTTAGAACATTTGACTCACAACCAGAGGACCCGGGTTCAATTCCCGAGCAGGGCAAAACCTTAGGCAAGTTTCCTTACTCTACCTGTCTCGGTAGGAACCCGGTTGTAAGTCGATTGCTTTCCAGGTGTAAAAGTCCCTTCCAAAAAAAATAGTAATTAGGTCACTCAATCAACTACTGTTTGTAGGCACTGCTGTGCGCAATTGGTTGCCGGTTTCGCCCACAAAATATATAGTCAATTCACTTATTGTATTCTGTGAAGCGCTTTGAGACATCTCAGTAACTTGATGAGGTGCTATATCAAATAGTATTAATAATCCCAACAAATGTGCATTTGTACAGATTGGATGTTAGGACCTCTCTCTCCCAAACTAAACTCCTCAGAGTTTAAGCTTCCTGTTAAGTTGGTCACTGGAGTTCCGAGTACAGAAGAGAGGCAGGTCCCAGGCATTATCTTAAGCATGTTCCTAGTGGATGTGTGGCAAGACTGGTTCTTAACTGGTTTTAAACAACAATCTGCATCAGATAAAATTTGAATGCAAGCATAATGATTCTTCCTGTTTTAAGGGGAGAGTTTTTTTTGAATGGCATGCATGCATGTGGGATTTACTTACTTAGAGCTGGCTCCAAGGTGATATGCTTGCCAATGTAATGTTGAAATTCAAGTCAATCCTCGATGGTAATCTTGTTTCCTGAGCCAGACAGGTCCGCAGACCTCCATGGCACTGCTGATAATAGATCAGCCAGTATGGCTTGTCGGCAGGACTTGGAAGGGCAGAGCAGTCCCTGGGAGGAAGGATTCTTCCCACTTGGCTGCTGTTAAACATGCAAGCCAAAGCTTCGTTAGGATAGTCCTAGTAGGACGAGCAGAGGGAAGCTTGCCAGACAGTCTTCATCTGCTGTTTTAGCTGGTTAGACTTCAGCAGTACCCCAACCGCACACATGGGCCCCCCACACTAGTTTCTTGCCAACCTGCACTTAATACTCTCCAGCGTTAGGTAAGCTGAGTACATCCCTCCATGAAGAGAGTGCATATTCCATTTCAGACACAGGAACGTTTTCATATGTAGGTGGCATCTAAATATGGAAGTCTTAAAAATCTTACATGTTTCCACATGTCAGATCCCTGGCCAACCCCAAAAAGTGAGTTTCAAATCAGTTTTTTTGTGATTATGCAGCAAAAAAAAGTTAATTTGCAGAGCTTAGCAGCAATTCCTCAGCATCACATCATTTATGCCAAATGCCTGTTAGTACAGAGTCAGGCCATCAGCAAGCATCATTTAAAGAGCACAACATAATTCCAGCTCAAGTTTTCCTGGACACAAATACTGCCTGCGCTCTATGTGAAAGGAACAATCTACATCTCAAGTTGTTAGCTGCACGCAGGGAAGTTTCCAATAGTTGTTTTGGGTGAATCTGGATCTGCCAGAGCATGCTCAGTAAACTTCAATTAGAAACATAGAAACAGAAGTAGGCTGTTCAGCCCCTCGAGCCTGTTCCACCATTCTGTAAGATCATGGCTGATCTGTACCTTAAGTCCAATTACCCATCTTTGCCTGTATCCCTTAATACCCTGACCTAACAAATATCTATCCAATTGAAGAGGTGGCTAAACACCTCCATTGTAATTTGAATGGAGTTGTGTTTGAGGAGAGGCTGCCCAGGCTTTGTGTCCAGGAAAACTTGAATTGGAATTATGTTGTGTTCTTTAAATGATGCTTTCTGATGACCTGACTCTGTACATTAGGCATTTGGCATAAATGACGTGATGCTGAGGAATTGCTGCTAAGCTGTGTACTGCCTGGCACTTGTTTCAGGAGGTTGGTGTCTGGGGATTAATGCTGGAGAGATGCATTTTGGTGCTCTGGCACTTGTTCTGGAGCGTGTGCGTCACTTGGAGATGCTTGTGCTTGTGAGCTGTACTGAGAAACTAGACGATTGTTTGACAGGGGAAGAAAAATTGTAGTTAGTTGTAGAGTAGTCATTGGACAGGCTGAATAGAGGCTGGATTTCTCTGTTGGTCAGGAAATATGTCTTAAGGTGTGGATTGCAGGGGTAAAGCTAGGTAAAGGGAGAAAATAACAACATCAGGAATAAGAAATACAACAGCATTCGTATTGTTCTTTGTAGAGCTTCCCTATTAATGCTCACAAAGTGTTCTTGGATGAATAGGCAATACAGTTGAAATGGCTGATGTATTCCAGAACATCTTGTTCAGTTTGTGTGCACGAGACAGATCCTTACAGCTTTAATAGATGTGGCAGTCACTGATGCCTGGGCACCTGAATGAACTTTACTGTAGCCTGCAGGTCCTGAAAGTCTGTGTTCTACCAATTTATTGTGTGCTCAGTCTAGTTTATTCCCCTGCCTTACTTGCCTTTGGAAGTGCCGCAGGACGCTACCCCGTGTGTTGTTGTTGTTGAATTGTGAGTGAGATATAAACGTGAATGATAAAAAATTGATTCTTTGAAAGTGTTGAAGGATATAATGTCCACGAGGGATGCTGGAGTTGGCTGCATGCTGTTGGGTGCCACAAATGGGAATAGTGTGAGTGAGGACAGATTGAAGTCAAGTAAACTAAAATTGCTGAATTTTGCCATTGAATCTTTGCTAGACTTGGCTCTCCCATTTGGAGATGGTTCATTCTCCTGGAATTTGCACTTTGCTTGTTTGAGTTTCTAATGATATTTCTAGAAAGTTGAACATATTGGATCAACAAAACCTGACATTACTTCAGGATTTGGAAAAGGATCATTTGAACTTCTGCAGCAGTGTCTAAGCCCCAGCATCTGACCCACATGTGATATCAGGGGATAGATGTTCACAATCTCTTTCTTGTTCTCCGCATGACATAAGTGAATGATAAATAAAAAGCACATAGATAGACGGGCTGGGATATCCTACCAGGTAGCACAATGTCTGAGCTTGCTCACACTATTCAGTTGATTTCTTACCTTGTTGCCAAACTCTGCCTCATCTGAAAATAGCTGATGCTGATCATTATCACCCTGTCGGTGGCTTTTATGATTGCCAACTCAACACAATCCAGAAATTCAACCTCCAGTCCTCCGGTCTATATAGCATAGTGAATCATTAGGTGATAACTTTACCAACTAGCCCATCAGAGCATGGAGTCTTCAGTGTAGTATTTGCTAGATCTGTGCAAGAATGTTATGGACAATCTTCAATGAAAATCATTTTGGACGTGTTTGTAGCTCAGAAACGAATGTGAATGCCTTGGCTTTTTATTATTTTGCAGAGTACATTGTGGCTTTCAAGGGATACTTCACTGCCACAGCCAGAGGCAAGTTTATTTCGAGTGCACTGAAAAACACAGATGTGGTGGAATGGCGAATCGTTCCTCGTGACAATCCTGCCAGTGAATACCCGAGCGATTTTGAGGTGGTTCAGATCAAAGAGAAGCAGCGAGACACTGTCCTGACCCTGGAGGGACATCCACACATCAAGCGAGTTACGCCTCAAAGGAAAGTCATCCGCTCTCTCAAATTCACCGAGAGTAAGTATGGTGCAATGTTTTGTGCAAGTCGTGTCTTTAAGTGCTCAGGGTCACTACCCTGCATGAGGGGCGCTATATAAATACAAGTTGTTGTTGACGTCTTAAGAGCATCGTCATATTTCAACAGCAGCAATTTGTGTTTATATAGCACCTTTTAGGTAGCATAATCCATTGGAACGCTTCACAGTTGTCAGGGTTGCTAGCTGAGCAAAGGGACCATAGGCGTAGTTGAAGATGGAGTTCATTCGGCTGCCTGAAAAGGGCACACATCGTATATGTGTACAAACAGCTGGCTGGTTTTATGGGTTTGAGCTTTCTTTATGGAACAATTAAGTTTTTGTCACTTTTTCCTATTTTACTCTGTACAAATAATTTGTTTAAATTTTCCAGCTGTTGTGACTGAGGGAAATGGATGTACTTTAACTGCAAGCTGTACTTTGAGCAGCAGCTGTGTATGTCTGTTGGTTGTTTACAACAGGATGACAAAAGAGTGAATTGAACAACCATGGAAAAGAACCTTTGTGCTTAAGCTCCAATTGATGTGCTTTTGGTTAACACCTTAAACCTCTCATTGATTGTGATGCTCCCAACAGCATTGTGAAGTATTTTGAGATATTCAGCCCGCATGAAAGGCTCTAAAAATGGAAGGATAATTAGATACTTGTGATAGCTTTTGTTTTTAATGATAAAGGTAAGATATCATACCTGTTTTATTTTTATTTTTGCTTTCCTCCCGCTCCCAAAATGAGTGCGGATGGACTAAAACATATTGGACTTGACCTGCATTCATCCCCGCCTCATCCCAGACACTGTATTGTATATGGTATTTGAAATGAGATGTTTGTGGAGTATGCAGTGAGAGAAGCCTTATCCTAGCAGCATGACTAAAGTTCTGTTCACTTCACAATTGAGCACTTTTGTGGAAGTGGATCTTTGCATGCACGTTTTACCTTATAAACAGACAGCTACTCTGAAACATTTTGCTTGCAGGTGAAATTTGGATGTAAAGTGTTCCATAAGCAGCAGATGGAGACTTTGAAAATGGTACCCGAGCAGATTTATGGCCTCTCACTTGCATGCACAGAAAGTGGATTTTGGCTTGCCTCCCAGCTCCCCGTTTTTGTGCTACTTGTAGATTGGAGGTGGGAGAAAACAACACAGAAAGGTTGATTACACATCTTCCATACCCTCCTTTTTGAAATTGATGTGAGAGATCAAAGCGGAATAAATAATGGTGTTATGCAAGGCCTTTGACACTTGTAAAATTGTGTTGTGATTCTTTTTCCACCTACGCACAGAGATTTGGACCTGTATGCTTTTTCCACCGAAGCGATGGGCTAACACATCTGGAGAATTATATGTCATTTTCCTTAAAGCTAGTTTGTTTGTGGCCACTCTTGTTGGCAAGGGTATTGGTAATCATTTTTAGGCTGTTATGCTCCAGCATTGGTACAGCAAGTTACTTCAACAACAACAATTTGCATTTATATAGCACCCTTCATGCAAGGTAGCGTCTTCATATATTTAAGATATTAGCTTGCTTTTTTTTGTGAGGAAAGAGTAAGGAAACCTTCAAGGAACCATCTGTTCTTAAGGTATCTGAGTTTTCGTGCATTTGTGCCACTAATCACTGCTCCCTTCCTCTGGGTTCATGAACATAAAAGGCTTGACACTGTGGAAAGATGGAGTTTGGTGGTATTAAATACACAAATTACAGTGCTAAAATATACCAAAACTACACGACTTTAGAACTTTTGTAGAGACTTTTGTGCAGTCCTTACAAAAGTCCTAAAGTCGTGTAGTGATGGTATATTTTAGCAAGTGGTTTATTGTGAAGCAATACGGCTTTTCAGTTTGGACTCCGGAAAGTGTTTCTCTTCCAATAACTGCACTTCCTTCTAAACAATGAGTCAGAAGGATGTGGGTTCAAGTCCTATCAGGATTTTGAATTCACTTAGAGAAATAATTTGAGAAATCCTTTGAGAAATCTTCCCAATATGAATGACGCAATATCACATGCAAAGATTATTATAATAGGTCTATTATGCACCAATTTTAAATACGATTTTCTTAATAAGGGAACTGGGAATTACATCACTGATTTGTCAGAGTTCTACTCTGACAGAATCTACTTTTGGATTGACTGGATCTCGTGACCTACATATGGTTAAGGAATAGAAATAGACACATATTTCCCACTGTCTGGAATTACTCCTTAGGTTGGGATTGTATTTATCATTTTAGATTATTTTTTACCAAATAAGTGATGACCTTTAGATAGGTTTCAACTTTTGTCACTGCATTTCCTTCAGTGATAAATAGTGACCTGAGTGAGGTTCTATTTAAAAAAAATTAAAGAAAGTTTTAGTTTTAACTCTAGAAAATGTGCCATTGACCTTTCAATATCATCTACTCTCAATGCTGATTTACAGCTAAGCGAGTCAGTGAACATCTGCTTAACCTCTGTTTTGACCAAGCATTTGCCTCAGGGCTTCCTTCACTGTCTATGGTCTTCGGTGATATTCCATTGTGTAATACGCTGTGACACCAAATAATAAATTCCACTTTTATAATAATAGTTTAATAGAGCACTTTATCTCATTGTAATGACTCAAAGTGCTCCCAATTTACTGGATTTACTGTACAACAACAACAACAACAACAAGATTCCATTTATAGAGCGCCTTTCACGTCAGGAGGACGTCCCAAGGCGCTGCACAGTTGGGTCATGACCCGAGCAGGGGGGAAATGGTCAGGGTGAGGGGAGGGAAGGGAGGGAGCGAGGAGGAGGAAGAGAGTCGAGAGGGGAGCTGAAGGCACGGTCAAAGAGAAATTATAGTGCACATCTATTTATTTGTAGGTGATGATTAGCCACTTGACTGTATACACAATATAAATATAAACTAGCATTCATTTTGTCCTTTCATGTTGGGAAAATTTCCACAGAGACTTAACAATACAGGCTTGGCACCCAAGCCGGGGATAGGAGCTGAGGCAGTTGGGAATGGGAAAAATGACAGGCAGCGCAGACAAAGAAGTAAGTCTTGAGATGGATTTTGACCGAGATAAGAGAACCTTGGTGAGAACTGCTATTGCCTAAATATGGAATAAAACCACCCTGTAAAATGTGCTCTGCATAACAAAACGAATATCTGACATTACAGGGTATGAATCTAATTGAGTGGTTCACATGGCAAGTATGGAAGAAAAATAATCTGCACGTGATTAAACAGCTGTAATCTCATATCAGAGTCCAACTAGAGTAGAACTAGAAAAGCAAAGCTCAGTTTGTAACCTTTGACTGATATTCCTCACGTGATTGCATTCAGCTTCACATATCAAATGCATATGGAGGGCAGTCTGTATAATTGCTCAATTGTGACTGTGGGACCTATTTAGTTTTTTGTAGTTACAGAAAAGATGGCAGGCAATTAATTGTCATATTTGGTTCCTGAGGCTTTCTGAAACTGTTGGTTAAGGTAAGGAGATTTGCTGCGAAACTGTTCTTCTTGGGTGCAGCAAATGGAATGTGCGGTTCTAGTTGTTTGTTTGGCTTATTTGGTAGCACTTTCACCTCTGGGACAGAAGGTTGTGGGTTTGTGCTTCATGTTGAAACTTGAATTAATTGTCTGGGTTGACACCCACTGAAAATATTGTGCTGCATTCTTGGAAGTACTGATTTTATAATAATAATCATTGTATTTAATACAGCCCTTTTAATGTTGGGAGGATGACTCAAAGCACTTCACAGGATTCACTGTCAAGTATAGTGATTGAATTTTGTAGGTGAAAGTGGCAGCCAATTGCGCACAGGACTATCCCACAAACAGCCATTAAACGAATGATCAATTTGATTCTGATGAGGTCTCTCCTGCCTGTTCTTCAGGTGATCTTAAACCTGCCACAATGGTTTTTGAAAAGAGAACAAAGTTTCTCCCAGTGTCCTAACCAACAATACTCCAGTTAAATTGGTCAGTGACTTACACTTTGTGGCACTTTGTGGGACTAAGCTGTACACAAAAATGGGCGCCGTGTTTGCCTATAAAAACAGTTGCTACACTTGACAGGAAAATACTGCAATAAGCTTTTGAGATGCCCTGAGGCACTATAAAAATCCCAAGTAATTGCTATCCAGTCGATATCTTAATCTTTTCCACCTCAACTTTAACATTTTTGGGGAATGTTGCAGCAGATCCAGTTGTGCCATGTAATGACACGCGATGGACACAGAAGTGGCAGTCCTCAAGACCTCTCAGGAGAACCAGCCTCTCCCTGGGCTCTGGATTCTGGCACGCTTCAGGCAGACACTCGAGCCGGCGACTGTTGAGGGCCATCCCTCAGCAGGTAGCTCAGACCCTACAGGCGGATGTGTTGTGGCAGATGGGACACACAGGTACGTACAGGGCTCCCTAATACTTTTTTAGCTTGTGGGTGGAGGAACAGCCGCATTGCACAATAGAATAGTTTTCATGACCGAAGAATGATTTTACCGCAAGTATTTACAGTAGTTACAGAGTAATACTCCCTTTTTTATTTTAAGTGAACTTAGCATTAAAACAAAAAATTATCAGTATTTAAGTTTGAGTAAATCTATTCAGTTAACTTCTCAATAATTGTACTTTTAAAAATCAGAGACCCAGCAATGAACTTAGTTTCAACCCATATAAGACCATTTTGTCTTAAAATTTCAGATTTTCACAGATCTATGCAACATTCTTCAATTTACTGTAAATTTGTGTAATCCAGTTCTTTCTGTAGTTCTTTTTTTAAAAAAGCACATTAAGATGTAAATTTAAGAACATTTCCACAATTTAATGCAATTTTAAATTTTAAGACAAAATTACCTTAATGGCTAAGACTAGATGTGATATTCATCCTCTGTTATTCTAATCCTGATGAACTTTTGTTTTATCCTGGCTTGGGTTTAAAAATGATATTAGACTACTGAATTGCGAATTTGTTTTGTCTTTGAAAATTGCTGAATCTCATAGTGTGAAAGAGCAGATGGTCATTTAACTCAACATGCATCAGTGACTTTTTTTCCCCAACATTCAATCTGCTTCCCTGTGTTGCCTGGTTTGGCAATCCATCTCCGTTCATCCCTTATGTTGTTAGGCTCAGTTACCCATTACAGCTGACTTCTCTTTTTTGTCAACATGTACTGTCCAAAAAGAATCCAAGGTGACAGGNAAAAAAAAATGTAAAAGTCTACCTCAGTAGGTTTCGTGTGGAATGAGGAAAGAATCAAATTAATTCTTGTAGGCAAGCAATAGGAAACGGAAAATTGCCCCATTGGTGCGTACTATAGAGGTCTTCATTCTGGATCCTAATATTCAACAGCTGACCCGGGAATGCTGAATACTGACACTGGTTACCTAAAATAGGAAAGTTAATCCTTAAACCCGTACTGTAACATGATCTAAAACATTGATTGATTCCAATAGTGCCCTGTATGAAAAGCCCAATGTGCAATGAATGTTATAATTCTGACCCTTGACATAACATGCTCTGGAAATGTCTCCCTCACCGACTGTACCGTACTATAAAATGTGCTTGCTATGACTGATTTTCCGATCTTTGATATATTATTTATGGTTCCTTTTGAAAAGCTTATAAATGTTTCTAATATGTTTCTCATTATAGTAGTCCCGGTACAACAGTTTCTGTAATGCCTGTAATGTTCAGTGCTGCTTAATCCATAAATTATAGAGAACAGGGTTTAGGTTAAATATGTGGCTCCTGTAAAACGTGCCACTTACATGAGAATTTTGAGAAATTTACCATGATTTCTCCCCTCCCCCCAACCGAGTTGAAAGGAACCACTTAATGTGTTCCCGGCACATTGAGTAGGCATTTTCAATTCAGAAGGGGGGGAAAAGTATTAGTAAAATTCTCCTCTGGAGAATTCATCAAGATTGAAGAGGTCGGGACCAGCAATTTCAAAACCTGTACCAAATTCTAAGTTCTAACTTGCATTTTTTTTCTCCCTTTCTCATTCTCTTCCCCCACCTCCCCACACGCGCGCACACACACACACACACACACATCTCCACCCTCCATGGGCAGAATCCTCAGTTATAGAGGGAGAGGTTTTACCCACCTTTTTAATTAGATTTATTCCAGATTTAGATTTATTTTAGATTTATTTATTATATTTAGATTACAGGATCATCACTTTAAAGTCTGTTGTATAGTTGTCGAAAAGATACTCTGTGGCTTACTGTAAAGTGTGTTATTCATACTGTTGCAATACATTGGATATGTTTATTATATTTAACACAGGAAACAATATGATTATTTTGTTTGTAAGACAACAATAACCTGCACATATAGCACTTTTCACATAGATTTTGAAGAAGTTCACAGGGATGGTGTGGAAACCAAGCAGATTTCCGACCTTAAGTGCACTGAAACCCATGTGCTCTCTGATGACTGTTTATACTATTAACTTTGTGACTATTTTACGTTGCCAAACTGAATTCCTGGATCTGTTTAGTCATTCCAAATTGGACTTTGGATGGCCGCATTTAACACTGCATCTTAAGATGTATTGCTGCCATTTTGTAGTCGACTCACTTTCCTTCCTATGCAGTGGTCTTTCAAGAGGAAATTTGATAGCTATTTAGTGAAATCCATGATGTGTGTGTGTGTGAGAGATTAGCGTAGGTCTTGTATTTACTTTGGTTCCTGGCCAGATGGATCGCATGGTCTTTTCTAGTCCAGTAAATTCCTATGTGCCTCTGCATATCTTGGCTCCCTTGCACAGCAAATGGCAGAAAAATGTGCAGTCGAGTTTAAGAAAAACACATGTGTTCTCAGTTGCACATTCAAAACATGTGATGTTTCTACAAACTGCTGCAGTGTCTCAGTGCCTTTCCCCAGATAACCTTTGGAGCTTGAACTCCTTTCAAAGAATGGGGATCATACCTCCAGCAGGTTATATAAACTCTTTGTGACCGAATTCTGGTTCCAACTCCTGCAAGAGCTCTCTCTCCTTTTCTTTGCACCTTTTTCTTGCCTCCCCTGCCGAGTAACATTCATATTTCTTAGTGTTGATTCCATTAAGCTGAAGCTACCAGCGATACAGGGAGTTTCCTCATGGGGATGGAGAACTACTATCTGCATCCTAATGTAACCTATAGTCTGCCAACAAATTGCAAATTGTCAAACGATAGCAAGCTAATTGATGTGTGAATATTTTCTTCTCTTTTCCTATCCCCATTCCCCCGATGGGAAAAGAGGAGGTAGAAAATATTCACCCTATGCCATTCTATCCCTCCCGTAAGCAGCGACACATTAACTAATTTGCAGAGATTTCAAGTGTGGTTCAGCAGATGTGATGTTCTATTTCTGTCCTGTTTATTTATGATGTTTTATGTATTGCCAGGTGCTGGTGTGAAGGTAGCGGTGTTTGATACAGGACTTAGTGAAAAACATCCTCACTTCAGAAATGTGAAAGAGAGAACAAACTGGACCAATGAGAAGACTTTGGATGATGGTATGTCTATTCAGAGATCAGTCCAATATATTATTGGTTTTGAATGCAATTTAACTCTGGTGGTTGCAATTGACCACTTAATTTGACATGATTTATTCATAAAGTTCATCAGATTATTGCCTGTTCTTTTAAAAATTCTGTATCCTTTCCCCCAGTATCCTGGCCAACAATCAACCGAATCAAATCGGTCATTCTCAAAATGTCATGGTTGTTTGCGGGACAAATCTGTGCAGAAATTGGTTGCCAAATTTGCGTGCAAAATGCCTGGTTTCTACTTTTACAGTAAATCCCGTGTAGCACTTTCCCGATGTGGAAGGCACTATGACAAATGCAAAGATTATTATTTATCTGTTCTATAATTTTTGGGAGCCGAGCCATATTGCAGATGCTGAGGTACTTGCATTACAATGTTGATCTGGACAAACTGCTTCCAACCAAATTTTTGCTCTAGGTTTCCATCAAGCAACAGCAGGATTCAGTCTTCTGTAAATTTTGGCAATGTTCTTTTTAACGTTCTTCATCCTCGCAAAGAAACAGCTTATCTCCTGAAAAGGTAGAGTGCCAAAATTAAATAGATTGTAATATACTTTCATTTAATTCTGACCTGTTTATGTGGTTTTAAAATAATTATACTTATGAGATATGGCTTAATTGCCATCTGGACTGATCTACATGGGCTCACAGCTGTGTTATCTACCAACCCAGCACAAACACGTATGGCCAAGTATGTCTGTGTTTCATCAGCAGGAAACTGAGCATATTTAAGGTGTGAACAAGTGGTTGAGTGAAGCACTTAAGGTGATTTTCTCTGAAATGTTTGAAGCAGTTCATCTGCATGGCATGTTTAAGACTATCCTTTGTTCACGAGTATATATAGATCATTTACCATATGGTTCTGCACGCAGTCTGATTTACATCAATTATTTTACTTGACCAGTTTCCCTTGATTGACTTCCCTTCACATGCTGTTAAATCAGAACTGTGGCTATCTGGCTTGAGTGGAACTAATTGTAAGAAGTAGGAGCCTTCAGCTGGCTTGTGAAATACAGTTGCAGTGTTTTTAAATGTGTATAGTTACGGTGAACTAAACGAGTCTCACAAAATTCCTAGGTCTCTGTCAACCAACAGAACTGATTTATGGGAGAAATGTAAACCACAGGACATGTGAAAGCGGAAGGTCAGGGAAACCTGTTTCAAACGCGTGCGATGTGAATGGACAAAAGTACCATTAAGAAATTTCTTCAGCCTCTCCAATAAACTAATATATTTGCCTGAAGTGCAATTGAAGCAGTAGTGATCAAATGTAGAACATTTAACCCATTTTGCCAATTTCGTGTTTTTCTTAAAAGCCTCCTTTTTTTGTTCAAATTCATTATCATACTGAATTCCACACATTACAGGGATTCCAGCTACTTGGTAGTTAGGGTGCAGCTGACAATTTACGATGCTGAGACTTTTTGATGCACTCTGACCTTTTATAATGGACCAGGAAGGAACATGGAGGACTATTTGAAATGGGCTGAACAACACCAAAAGTGGTTGAAACCAACCTTACAGTTAAACATAATTCTGAGCTGTATGCACTGTTTAATGATCCTATCCCCAGCAAGCAAATCAAGATGAAAGTCAGACCTGTGATCCTATTGTTGGATCAATTGTTTGCTGAAAGGGGGGTGGAATTCTTAGTGTCGACTTGAAATTGGCCCTTTGCCTGGTGCTAGTGACTCAGGGAAGAGGTGTACTGGTAGCACAATTCTGCCTCCACAACCCCACTAGATTAGAGCAATTCAATTACAATTGCCGCCCCCCACCCCACAATGGCAGTAGTGCTGAAATTGCCCATCAGAGCTGTGGTAAATAACTCGTGCAGTACTTTGTGTATTGCCAAAGAACAAGGACATAAATGTTGTTGCTGCGAATAGTTATGTGAATGGATTACACCTATACTGGAACTTTCTGGAGAGTTATGTCAATATAAACCTTATCAGTGATCCAGCAAACTGGCTTCAGATCTTTCCTGCCTCTATCTGGCCTGAAAATGTATACTTTGGTAATGCTCCAGTCAAGTCCAAGTCATCCAATGTCGGCTACTTACAAAGGGTTTCAATATTCAGATGTTTTAGTGGTAGAATACGTGCATGTTTTAACTCATTCTAGTGAACATTAATATGATAATAGTTAATTTAATGAAACCTGTGAGGTGCTGTTTATAAACACTGTTAATTTGTTCTGTCTGAAGACTATTACACTGTGATTCTACCACAGTGTGCTTGAGTCAATCTCTATCGTGCAGTAAATTACAAATGATCAAGAGGTATAGGAATCTAAATATAGTATAATTGACCTCATTTAACAGATCCTGTGTGACAACGTACTACATCGTATAGCAACCACTGGTCAGAGTTTCTATGACGTGAGGCACTGATGGTTTTGTTGTTGATGTCACTGAACTGTCCTTGGCAGGAAACCGTCCCTTCATCACAACACTGGGTTCATTTAAGAAATTGCTTGATGCTGTTACTGAAGGCGAGAGGATTGGTATTCTGGAAAGATGAGTTCAAATGAACTGAATAAGCTTTCTGCATCTGAACCTCTGGAAGTGTACTGCACTTCTGATGTTGTGCAGTGCACCTGCATTATATACGTTATGCAGTTATGTGTAATGGGGTCCGACTAACTAGCTCTTTGCATTGTGCTTTCCTTTATATATTTGTTTTGGAAATATTTCACTGATAGAGCATAAGCCTTTCACCAAAGAGATTGGATATATATCTTAGATTAGTATCTGCTGGCTGAGCATGTCCAGGTTGTTTTGTGCAGTAAAAATGATCCAGGGAGGTGCTGAAATGAAAATTCATTGCAACTAAGATATCCTATTTTATTCTCTTCTCATTTCTGTATGAAGGAATGTTATCATTATTGTGGGTTCTTGGTGTTGGTAGCTAATGCAGCTTAAAGCACACCAGTTTCCTTTTTTTTAAAAATTAAAATAATTTCTGCTGTTGGGAGAGAAAAGCATAATCTTCTAACCTCAGCGCAGCAAGGTTCGTATACAAAAGTCCGTATTTGAATTCATTGTCCCCCCCCCCAAAAAACCCTTTCATCCCAAAAGAGTCCCAAGCAGTTTCTTAACTGAATCCAGTGTTGCAATCTCGACCATCCTCCCTGGTAACCGCTTCCAAGTATTAACCTCCTTCTCTGTAAAGATCTACTTCTTGCTAAAAAAAATATTGCCACTGTAATGAAAGATATTTGTATGTATCGGCAAAGTTTCGATCCTCTGACGGTGTCTTTTTCTTTCCATTTTGGGTTGATATCAGGCTTGGGTCACGGCACATTTGTAGCAGGAGTGATTGCCAGCATGCGGGAATGCCAAGGGTTCGCACCTGATGCAGAGCTGCACATCTTCAGAGTCTTCACCAACAACCAGGTACAGTGGAGCTCTGTGTCTGAGCTTTCCCCACTGACCATTGGCACAACCCACAACTGTCAAATATCTGACAGTAAAACTTACACATGACTAATTTCAGATTTCACTGACCCCATTTAAAATCCACTTTTTTTGCATGGTTTCTTTCACTTACGTGTTCAAGCTTAAAGCACAGGGAAAAGGCCCCCTCACTGAACACTGTTGCCTCAGTATAATTGCTTACTACTCATTATAGAGCTATGTGATGAATAAATAATTCACAGAGCTCAATAGTTCAGGCACTTAATTGTCCAATTGATTTCTTTTTACCATTGCCTTGGCATGCAATGTGAGATTTATTATTAGTGTAAGTCATCTGTAAACCTCTCCTCTCTGGTTCATGGCAGATTCTGGCTCTTCACCAGTTGAATCGCTCCAAAGTGATGTATTCTTGGTTGCTGTTGGGGGTGGGGGATGTAGCAGTGGATTTGAAAAATGCCTTGCCATCTTCTGGGCTATTAGAACTTGTTTGAAGAGTGGCCGAGAGGGATCAAAAATGCATCTGTGCTTTGTGACAGCTGGTATGGTTCTTAAAGGAAATGAGTTTGGCCAGTCTTCATTGTGGATGTGTCTCTTGAGATTTATTTCGGGTCAGGACACAGGAGTTCAAAACTATATGTTTCAAACAAAACTGTAGAGCAATAATTTCCTAATCTGTCCCTGTGTAGTTCTCAGGTACTGATGACAATCAGGCTATAGTGCATCGTATTTGAAAGAATTAATTCCATTGAAATACTTATTTCTCTAATGGTTGATTTATAAATGGTGTTTGCTTTGAGGTTAGTGCTTGTGAGGGGAATTTTCTTTGGGCCCTGCTGTACTTATATGTAAACCATATATACTGTGTGATAAGGAGTTCTGTATCGTCTACAATAAGTCTTATTGGTGGATTCAAGGGCGGAGGATTTATTTTTGTGTATTTAGAAACTGTTGTTGGGTCGAATAAATGAAAACCGTTTTTGTTTATTGCTTTTTTATTTTCTTCAGGCTTGCTTTCTCGCTTCCTGAACACCTGTTCATGGCTTTCTTGAAGCCCAAAGCCAGTTTGTGTAGGTGTGTGAAATTCCAGTGGAGGAGATTAGCAAAGAGTGCTCCAATTGTACAGCTGTCACTTTTTTGTAATCCTTTTGTTGCTGCAAGTTTCTTCTACCAAATTTCTTGCCTTTCCCACTCTTCCTTTCAGGGGGTTTGTTTTGAGTTCTTTTGCCTTCTCCTTGGGGCGGTTCCACAGACGTGCACCCTTCTTCCTCTGGTACCTCCACCCAATGGAAATATTTTATTTAAAGCACAATACGGTTGGGTGTGCTGTCACTATTGTGCAATAAAGCTTTGTGAAAGCTTTATTGCAATTTTTTGCAATAAAGCTTTGTGAAAGGTCAATTATGTCTGAGTTCAAAATTGAACCAGATTGTTCTTCAGAATGACTATCAGTGAGTTTATGAGCTTGTCCTGTGTTCCTGCCCCTCTTGTCTATTCTGTCTGCATGTGATGAGTTATAAATCCTTGGGGGAGGAGAGGGTATTGATAGCATCTTTACAACAACAAACAACAACAAAATTACATTTATAGAGAGCCTTTCACATCGGGAGGACGTCCCAAAGTGTCCCAAAGTTACACAAGTGTGACTAACTTACCGAAAATAGAGGAGATTCTGGAGGCTTATGTTAGTGAGGAACTTAAAGAAATGCACATCTGTAAAGCAATACTACTAGAAAAATTGATAAGATTAAAAACCGATAAATTCTCTGGACCTTTTGGCCTGCATCTTAGGGTTTTAAAAGAGGTGGCTGAGGAGATAGTGGATGCTTTGTTTTTGATCTTCAAAAATTCCCTGGATTCTGGAATGATTCCCAGTGATTGGAAGGTCGCAAACATAACGCCGATATTTAAGAAGGGTGGAAGACAAAAAATGGGGAACTATAGACCAATATATTTGCATGGATTGGAGAGTGGCTAACAGGAAGAAAACAGAAAGTAGGGATAAGCGGGTCCTTCACGGATCAGTATGTGACTAGTGGAGTGCCACAAGGATCAGTGCTCCGGCTCAGTTATTTTCGGTCTGTATCAATGATTTAGAACTTAACATATAGAACTTAACAGAACTTTCTCGGACGATATGCAGATAGGTGGGAGAGTAAGCTGTGAGGATGACACACGAAGAATGCAAAGGGAAATAGACAGGCTGGGTGAGTAGGCAAGAAGGTGGCAGATGGAGTATAATGTGGGGAAGTGTGAAGTTATTCACCAAGGTAATAAAAATAGAAAAGTGGATTATTTTCGAGAGGGGGAGAGACTAGGTCGTGTTAGTGTTCAGAGGGATTTGGGTGTCCTTGTACACCAGTCACAAAAAGTTAGTGTGCAGGTACAGCAAGCAACTAGGAAGACTAATGCCATGTTGGCGTTCGTTGCAAAAGGGTTAGAGTACAAGAGTAGGGAAGGCTTGCTGCAGTTGTATAAGGCCTTGTTGAGACTGCACCTAGAATATTGTGTGCAGTTTTGGTCTCCTTATTTAAGAAAGGACATACTCGCCTTAGAGGGGGTGCAGCGTAATTGGTTCCTGGGATGAGGGGGTTGAATAAACTAGGCCTATATTCTCTAGAATATAGAAGAATTAGAGGTGATCTTATAGAAACCTATAAGATTCTTAAGGGTCTTGACAGGATAGATGCCGTGAGACTGTTTCCCCTGGTTGGAGAATCTAAAACTAGGGGTCATAGTCTCAGGATTAAGGGTCAGCCTTTTCGAACTGAGTTGAGGAAATATTTCTTCATTCAGAGGGTAGTGAATTTATGGAATTCTCTACCCCAGAAGGCTGTGGATGGTCAGTCAGTCCTTGAACATATTCAAGACGGAGATTGATAGATTTCTAAAAGATTAAGGGATATGGGGGTAGGGCAGGTAAATGGAATTAGGTTAGGAGATCAGCCATGATTTTATTAAATGGTGGGCAGGCTCGAGCGGCCGAATGGCCTACTCCTGCTCCTACATCTTGTGGTCTTATGGACTGAAGGCAGAATGGTGGGAACCATAACTCCTTGTTGATTGGAGGAGCGAAGCAGGAGAAATGGGTTTCGAGAGTCGCATTAAAATAAAATCATTGAATATAAGTAGATGTCACAAAGCACTGTTTTTGAGGTCGGCCTAATGTGAAATGTAATGTAAATAAGTAATCCCAGTGTTTTACTGAGCAGGTCTCGTACACCTCCTGGTTCCTGGATGCCTTCAATTATGCTATTCTGAAGAAGATTGATGTTCTGAACCTCAGCATTGGTGGACCAGACTTCATGGACCATCCTTTCGTGGACAAGGTGAGTTTGATGGTCCACCAAATATTTGGTGTTGCGTGCATTTCCATGTCACTTTCTACAGGTCTGTATTCTTTGCAGTCAGTTTGCACACATATTAGTTGATTGTAGTTGAATATTAAAACTTCCTGGTTTGAAGTAAGAATGATGCATAACCTGTCTGGATCTCTTTGTGAGTTTCATTATTGTAGATTACAGTCAGGCAGTAGAAGAAGTAAACATCAGTTAATTGCACCATTAAGTCTTGCAGAATGAACAATTCTCTTCCATTGTCTTATATAAAAGTTTACCCATTGCAGGCATCATTGTTAACGGAGACAGTTTGTGATCTAAGTGTTGAATTTTGGTTATAGCATTGCTCTGTTATTTGAGGTGCTGTATTCTGGACCCTTTTAAATGTGGTAGTACTTTAACATATGTCTTAATGCATCCCAGATTAAATGCTACATTATTGGTCGCATTGTTCTTGCAGATATATATATATATTCAGTGTCTTGCAGTATTCTGTACAATTAGATGGAACTCATTGACAGGAAGAACGAATACGTGCTTAGAAAAGCAGCATGGGTTGTGTGTGTGTGTGTGACTGCGTGTGTGTGACTGCGTGTGTATATACATCTATCCATATATCTAGATGAATATGATGACCTCTCTGCTGTTGGTTGGGCATGGACGTTTTGCTGTAGGAGGTTATAGATGCATGAAGGAGAGGCTAGTCACCTTACTCTAGGGCTTGGATTGACAGAAGTCTGACCAGAGCTTTGTCAATATCAATGCAAAGGGAATCACTTTGTGCTGCTGAGAATGAAAACAGAGTGAGTCTGGGAGCATCAGGAGCTTTTGATCCCATTGATACCAAGCTGAGTAAGCGTTGGGTTGGGTTTGTGGGTAACTTTTCAAACAATTAATGTGAATCCTTGTCATGCTTGATTTGTTGCAAACAGTTTGAATATCATTGGGATTATGTAAGACTGGGGTAGAAGGGAGTAGATATTGTTTCCTGTTAAAACCTGCCCTCAGAAGGTCACATCAAGATTTAATTACAGATTAAAGGAGAAAGAAGAAAGTTTGGTTGTGGAAGTATTTAAAGTGAATTGAAGATTTGACTGGAGCAATAAAAAACATTTACACATTTGGTAGCTCAATGACTCTGGGCATTTCTTACCTAAGCTTACATGCCAGCGTTTTGCAAGTATATATTCTCTGCCCTGGAATGGCAAATAAAAAACAAGTGGGCAGTCTGGCTGGCTTGAATTTGGGGGGAGTGGGAGGAAATTATGGTGGTGTCGTACTGTTTCCCAGGAGAAGGAAAAAGAGTCAAAATGTCTTCCGGGGGAGAGGAGAAAATTTGATAAAGAAATGAAAGTCATGAAAGTAAGAGTGACTTTAATTCACTCTTCATTCCCCTTTATTGGCCATTCCAGGGCAGAGAATATATATTTGCAAAACGCTGGCATGAAAGAGTAGATACGAAATGCCCAGAGCCAGTGAGCTACCAAATGTGTAAATAACTATGTATCTTGGCGGTGGGGGTTGTAGAGGGTGCACCCAATTCCAGAGGCTCTGTTCCCCCCACTTGCGTGGTTCCATTAAATCTTTTGTTTAGCAGCCATGAAAGGAATTGTGTGTCCCATTAAGGCATGAGTCAGACTCTGTTGTGAAGTGGCGTGGGTGGAAGTATGGTGCATGGTAGGAATAATCAGACATTTTGGGTGATTTCTAAAGCTTTCAAGTGCGCTCTCAACCTTGGGGCGTTAGAAAGGATTTACCCACATTCCTTGAAAATGTAGACTCAAAGGTCCAAAATTCTACCTAGCTTCAGGCTGTAATACTGTTTTAAAAATTAAGATTGCACAAAATTGTGGAAAACTCTCAGTCAGTTTTAATTTTGTTCTTAAGACTGTTCTTTTTAATTAAGAAATGCGGAAAGCTATTGTTCTAAATTAAGCCTATATTTAAGAATTTTCTACTGTTGATAATAATAATCGTTGCATTTGATATAGATCCTTATCACGTCGTTGAGACATCTCAAAGAGCTTCACAAAATATACTGGAAAGTGAATTGACTGTATTTGTGGGCGAAATGCGGCAGATATTGCGCACAGCAGTGTCCTACAAATGCATGGATTGAGTGACCAAATTATTATTTTTTTTGGAGGGAAAGCAATAACCCAATCGACTAACAACTGGGTTCCAACTTACTGCTCAGTAAACAGAGGCGTGTGGAGTAAGGAAACTTGCCTCTCGAAATCGGGTCCTTTTGTTTACGAGGCGAGTGCTCTTAACCCGTGCAATCTTAAATTTTAAGACAGTAGTTTTACAGGCTAACACTAAGAGAAAATTTTAGACCTTCAGAGTCGGTTTGCCTCCTGAGTGATCTGATGACAGGACTTTGAACAACCATTCCCTATCTTGTTTCCAGACTTGTTTTTCCAGGGTCTGGCAATGGTTCAATCTCTTCTGGCCAATTGTAATGGCCTTTTGAGTCAAAATGGCAGTGTATGACATTTTGAAAGGTTTCTGAAATATTATATTTTGCAAACTTTCAATTATTCAGCGGAGTTTGCATCTTTTACATTTACTCTTGTAAATAGCATATAGCATAATGAAAGCCACACTTGGAGCAGCTGTCGTGTGTGTCTTTAATGCGTGAAAAATGTCTCTGCACATAGAAATGTCTGTTGCCTTTTATTTATACTCGGTGGTTGATTTGCTTGAATTTATTGGGTGCATGCACGCACACACACACACAAAATAGTTTCATCGTAAATAGAATTGATCTTGGTGAGTGACATTGAGTGAGCAAGGAGAAGGGTTTTGGGGGTTGGGGGGCACGGGTGAAGATAACAGGATAAATAAATAAATAATAAATAAATAAATAAATAAATAAGTGAGGCAGATAGAAGCAGGGAATTCCAGAGGTTGGGGGCATAATGACTGAAGGTTCAGCAATTAGTGGTGGTGCAGAAGGAGTGTGGGTTGAACAGCAGGCCAGTGTTAGCAGAGGGGCTGGGCAGAGGAGTGAGGTCCGAGGAGATCAGAGAGATGGGGAGATGCTCGGGCGAGAAGGAAATTATGTGGGAGGATTAGAACCTTGAAGTTTCTCTGTTTGGAGACAGTGCTAAAAGAGTTTGGAAAAGATTGGGTTGATGGGCGTGCAGTTCAATGATGTAAATGAGGGGATAACCCAAAAGAACTTATTGTATTTTAAACACTTATGAGAGCAATCATTCTCAAATTCTGTATAACTAGAGCAAAGCCCAGATGTCTTCCATCAATGATGATTGTGCCATAATTAGATTGTGAGTTTTAAACCTATCAAATCATTCTTATCAACAATTCTTACAAATCATTTTTGTTAGGTGTATTATACATTGCGTCTTATCATGTTTCTCCTTGTTTTTATAATTGAAAAAGCACGTGCAGGTGAAGAAAGGCCTTAGATTTTAATCTCTGAAATCTGAAATATGTTACTTTTCAATTCTTTTTTTCTGTCATTAACCAACTTATGCTGTTGTCCCTTTGTGATCTCTAGGTTTGGGAGCTGACGGCGAACAAAGTCATCATGGTCTCTGCAATTGGCAATGATGGACCACTTTATGGGTAAGTTTGTGGTTTGTCATAGCCTTGGTATTCCTGGTCAGCCTGGCGTGACTGATTGTTACAGCAGTAATAAATACCTGAGTGCACAGAGCTGTGGTGATGAAGAACCCTCCTACCCTCCCTGCCCTCCTGCCCTCCACCATCCCCCATCCCGACCCCCAGCTCGGGTCCAAATCCCTGACTGTCCAGCACCTTGGGACGTCCTCTCGACGTAAAAGGCGCTATACAAATGTAATATTGTATTGTATCTGGCCTAGGCTCGTTAAGTGAAAAGGATAAGAGCAACTAGATGAATCCTGCTTCCTGTTCCAGCTCATTTGTACTGTGAAAATAATTGGGTTTCAGACCTCACGCCACTATCGACCCAGAAAAGTGCAACTTCTGTCAAATGTTCTGTAGGGGTGGGTGCCTATACATAGCCGTCAAAAGAAAGCTCATTTGATACAATCACTCACTGGGATGTGTGGGTGTTATCTGAATCAGATCAATCAGCTATTGCTGTGTTTGAAGTGTGCTATCTGCCTGAAAATGTTTTTTGATGAACTCTTACTGAAGTGTGTCGACGTGTGTCGTTTTATGTCCTACACAAATGATGTCTCTAATTTGGACATCGTACTAAGTTACCTAAGAATTGTAGATGTGGAACTGCACTTACTTTAAGTAGCTGTTATTCCATTACTGACTGTAAAGCCCATATTCCTAATGAGTTGGAGATCAGCCACTAACTGATTAAACATGTGTCTACCTTGGAATCTTCCAGCACCCTCAATAATCCTGCTGACCAGATGGATGTAATTGGTGTGGGTGGTATCGACTTTGAGGACAACATGGCTCGATTCTCCTCCAGAGGAATGACAACTTGGGTAAGCTCCACAATGCCTGTGTACAGCACATTGCTGCTATTGTTATGTTCTTGGTGGCACAGTGAAATGGGTGAGAGCAATCAGAACCTGTGGCTAGGATGGGAGCCTTAGCAAAACTTACTTGTTTGACTGTGGGGAAAACAGAGAAATGAAGTGTTGGGACCCAGTAGAACAAATACTGAGCCTTTCCGTCCCACAAGAACGTTGAGACAGCAGGTAACATTAACTCTTCATTTCAGGAAGAGTTACAAGGAGGAGGAAGCACCCTCTGAGAGAGGGTTTCACAGACTAGAGAAATGGTGGGTGAAACTTTTGCATAGACTTCATGAATTGTTGTCAAAAATTGTGCTGAGGCTGATGTCTTCTGGCATGATCTTGGAGATGAAATATCTCATGACATTGGATGGTGCGCCATACAATTCTGGGAGACAGTTCTCTACAATACAATAGATGGTTGGTCTGCGATCTCCCAATTCTAAAACACAAATGGTTGTACCTGGAGGGAATTGATTCAACGATCCATTGGAAAACAAACTCAAAACTGTCTTGAGAATGTACAATTATTTTGTGATCTTTCGTGCTCCTCAAGATAAAGGAAACATTTGCCAGTTATTTTGAATAATGATACTGTAATGTTAGCTTGTCTTTCTCTTTTAGATGCTGATCAACCAGAGGGCATTTTATTTTAGGCACATATTATATAATATCAGTGAGGCCTATATGGAACCTTAGAGCTTTACTGCACAGCAGGCCAGTCAGCCCATGGGTCTATCCTGTCTCTCTGAAAAAGTAATCCATTCACTCCCATATCTCCCTTTTTCCCCATATCTGTTCAAATTGCACTTTTTTTTTAGATAACTAGCTAGTCCACTCTTGAAAGCTAAAATTTATGTCGGTGAAGCAAATATATTAGTCTTGGGGAAGAACCTTTTTTCATTTTGATCACATTGCCCTCCTATTTTGCTCAGCTTGAAGTAACTTTTTCTCCCCTAGTATGTTGTACTGTATAAGAAATTCAGACTGTGTTTGTGGGTGAGAGAGAGAAAAAGTAGTCACCAGGTGCAAACATATTGATTCAAGTGCTGGATCTGTCTGGACACCAAGGTAAAGTGGAATGAGCGCTCATTGTGAATATAAATTGTGCCTGAGGTGGAACTACACTCATGCCTGAAGTGAGCAGTTTATTTGATTGTAAGCGAGAAAGAACTGAAGTCTGGCAGTGATCCAGAACAGTTGGTGACCCACATCAAAGTGACAGATGCATTTTCCACAGGCTATTCCTGGCAGAACAGTTTCTTGTTATTAATGGTGATTAAACTTCAGAGCATTACAGGAAGAAACCGGATCAGTCTGTGGGTGAAAATCGAGTGCAGAGCATGTAGGCCTTATCCTAGCGTTCTGCTCTCATAATGTCTTAAATAATTAATTTGCCAGTTCGATACTGAAAGAGAAATGTACCGTAATTAGATAGAATAAAGCAGCAGTGAAATCTACGAGCCGTCACTTCCAATGTATCTTCAGGCATGATGTGTTTTCTCATCGCCATAGTTTGCATCTGTTTCCCCCCCTCTTCCCTCCCACCCCCACAAAAAATGGAACGATAGAGCTATTATTTTGACGCAGAATTTGCGACAAACTGAAGTGCTGTGCTTTACTTTCAACAGGAGCTTCCCGGGGGCTATGGCAGGATGAAGCCTGACATTGTGACCTACGGTTCCGGGGTCCGAGGCTCTGGGATGAAGGGTGGCTGCCGTTCGCTTTCAGGAACCAGCGTGGCGTCACCGGTGGTGGCGGGGGCAGTCACTCTGCTCGCAAGGTTAGTATACTTACAACAGGATAATATTCTCATAATAATAATGCTTACATTTGATATAACCCTCATCATGTCTTCGAGATGTCTCAAAGTGCTTCACAGAATAGACTGTCAAGTAGATCATCCAAAACTCTGCAGCTCGTGTACTCTCGCACACCAAGCTCCGTGATCCCATCACTCCCACCCTCGCCCAACTCCACTGGCTCCCCATCCCTCAGAGGATCGAGTTCAAGATCCTCGTCCTCACTTTCAAGGCCGTCCATGGCCTTGCCCCCTCCTACCTCTCTGACCTGCTGACTCCCTACCAACCTGCCCGCTCCCTCCATTCAGTGGGCTCCGACCTGCTCCATGTCTCCTGCCCGACCTGCCCTATCATCAGTGGCCGAGCTTTCAGCCTCTCTGCCCCCAAACTCTGGAACTCCATCTACAATCCCTTCGCCTCGCTTCCTCCCTTGCCTCCTTCAACACTGGTCTCAAGACCCTCCTCATCGATCGTGCGTTCGGTTGTCCTCCCACCTCTCTGCCTTCCCTCACCTTTACATCAGCCCTCCGCCATGCTCGGGCCCCGACACCTGAATGTTCAACGCTTTGGGATGTCCTCCCGACGTGAAAGACGCGCTATAAATGTAAGACTGTTGTTGTATAGTTTGTGTTGGCGAAACGGAGCAGCCAATTGAGCACAGCAGCGTCCCACAAACAGTCGTGGATTGAGTGACCACATTATTATTATTATTATTACACATGATTTAAAAACAGAACGTGAGAATTAAAATTAGACAGACATGAACAGAGGTTTGGGGGGGAGCGCAGCAATTTGGGGCTAAACCATTCGGTAGCTTTAAACCATAACAGCACCCTGTTAGCTCTATCAGATAAATACTGGACCTGAAACCGTGTCCTAGTGGGTTCACTCAGTGGTTCACCATTTCACAAATCAGTCAAGGCCAATATTGAGCTGCTGTATATTTATGCAATTGATTTTGCAACCTGTTAATTTGCACTGATGTCCCGCAGCACAGAACACTGAGGTTAAACAGTCAGTGCGTCTCATGTCGGAAATACTCGACCAGTAGTGTGTAATTGAAGCTAGTGGTACTTTTCTGGTGGCATAGTATGTTTGTTTGTGGAATGTTTGTTTTTCATTAAGTCTGGGTTCTTTTCTGTATTCTAGCTGAATATTTGAGAAAGTTTGAGCTGCTATGTTGCATTTCACTCGGTTATTATAGTCATTATGTCACACCTGAGATTGGGGTGCAATGTACAATAATTTCTAACGAGACTCCTAAATAAGGAAATCGGAAACATGTAACCGAGAACTCCTGACACCTTGAATTCAGAGTGCTTCCAGTAGGAGTCTCTTCCCCTCCCCCTCCCGGATTTTTTAATAAATAGAACAAAATTGTCTAAGACTCCATTCAGTGTTACCAATTCAAGCCCAGTTCTTACTTGTGGCTCTCACAGTTCTGGTTTAAGACAATCACTGATATCTATATTTCACCCATAAAATATACAATCAATTCATTTTACAGTATATTCTCTGAAGCGCTTTGAGACGTCTCGAAGAACTGATAAGGCGCTATATCAAATGCAACGATTAGTATTATTTTTATTCCTGACCCCCAAGAATGTGTAATGCAGGGAGGGTGTGCATTGATTGCTCCCAACTGTTGAAAGGGTTAACTGGGATCTGAGTAAAGTTTCTCAATCATTTGATCACCACGAGCTCCCTCTAAAACTAAACTTTCAATCTGTTTGCTCATTTCTTTCCCTTCCTTTCCAATGTGAAAGAAAGGCAGCCTGCCAGTAATCAGTATAAATATGTCCAGCCTTGAGCTTCTTTAATGCTATGAAATATCCAGTCAGACAAAACACCGCCTTTCAAGGTTCCTGTAATTATGCCAGTCTGTCAGGCAGTAGCAAAATAACTGCATTAACACCACTCTGGCCTTACCATGGACAGAAAGCAATGGCCAAAGCTCACCGAGTTCTTTATTTTAGGTGTTCTAGCCAAGAGATGGTGTTTTAAAAAGGCAGCTGCTGTGAAATGATGAAATTAGATAATGTTCAGAATCTGCTATGACCGTGCCAAACTCACATGGATTCTTCTGTCCAGGGGCCCTGTAAGTTACCACTCCTCTGTCTAGATCTTAATTACTTCACAGAAGTATTTTAGCCTCTACAGCATTTTCCACTGCCCAGAAAAGGTTGAATCTGACCTGGTTAACCTCTGGGTTTCATTGGAACATCTTGTGAGTTTTGCCTTTGGCTTCAAGTAAACCCATTTTAGAAAGGTTTTATTTTGGGATCCAAGTGCTTGCTGTTTCTCGTGCAGCATCATATAGCCCACACTTGCAGGTTCGAAATTACCTCACTATGTGCAGCCTTAGACTGAAAGTCAAATCGAGTGATGTTGCTTTGGTAGACAAGGGCATAATATGCAGTTCGTCTCCCCGGGGAGATGCTGTAAGCTCCTATCTGATCTAATCAAAAGATTTAGACACCACAAAAGTACGGTATCTTTGAGCCGAGCAATTTGAAAATGCTCGACATCACCTTGTTGATTTGTTTCCTCTGCATTTTCTGAAGTGTGAGGTCTGTTACCTGACCTTGGGATTGGAATACTTTGGAAATGAGCATTCAAGCTTAATTCATATATCCTAAATACAATTTTGTGTTCTGTTGTAATACTTGTACAGCTGTTTTTCTGACATCGGTGTGGTGCATTTAGCACCCTGCAGAAGGCATTCACTGTGTGGTATACTCGTGCGGGGTGATGTGATAAGGCACAGTAAGGAATCTCAACTATTTTACGCCATGAAAGATTCTTGCTCTGTGAATCTGCGTTCTCCACCAAACCAGGTCTGACTGCACCAAATATACCTATTTTCTAAAAGTGCTTTTGAAAGGAAGTGTTAAAGCACTAGCATGCAGCATCACAGAGAGGGATTTGTGGAGTCCTGTAGCTCAGTGGTTAGAGCACTCGCTTTGCAAGTGAGAGACCTGAGTTCAATTCCAGGCAGAGGGCGAAACCTTGGGCAAGTTTCCTTACTCCACACTCCTAATAATAATCCCTCCAAAAAACAAAACAATAATAAATTGGTCATTTTCAATCTACGACTGTTTGTGGGACATTGCTGTGCGCAATTGGCTGCCGCGTTCGCCCACACATATACAGTCAATTCACTTTACAGTGTGTTCTGTGAAGCGCTTTGGGACGTCCTCCCGACGTGAAAAGCGCTATATCAAATGCAAGGATTATTATTATTATTATTCCTCAGCTGAGCTGCAACTCCTCAAGGAGTGAGGGGAACATCAGCTGCTAGGGTTTCACCAGGCTCCTCTTGCCTCTTACCAGCTATGAGGGAGTGACCTAGGAAGCAAAATTCCCAAAACTTTTCTCTTGATTGTGAGATATTTGTAGTTGTGGGAGAGGTGAGGCGCAGAATGTGTAAAGAGACGAATAGATCACTTTAAAACCTTACGCTGTGGACATTTGTTTGAACAGACCGTTGTATTCAAATTCTATAAGGATAGGCTTTTGGATGTTTGCTGTTCTTTCTGAACAGATTCATAGTTAGTAGTTTACATTAATAAGAGATTAGAGACATGGGAAGCGGATGCCGGATTTGGGTTCGAGTTGCTGCCAGTGTGCTGTCCATATGACAAATGTTGTTTCTTTTCCAATTGGAACGGGTCCAAGGTCTGAGGTGCGAATGCAGATCCATTTCTTTTTTATTGCTCGATTGTAGAAGGGAGCGGCTCCAAGGCTTGTGGTTTCAAACAGGATTGTGAGCAGTTAATTCCACCAGATGTTTGACACAATGGAATTAATGAGATCGCTCGCCCCTGACAAAAACTCTTAATTGCTCAGGTCTAAAATCTCTTAGAAGCAAGATTCACATCTTCAGTTCCGATTGCTCTTAAGAGGAACAATAAAAAAAACTCCATACCCCATCTGCCTGTTTGCCATAAAAGGTGCAGCTCATGCCGTGGGATTCCAGCATTGCTACTTAGCTGGCTTACCCGGAAACCAAACAGCAGCAGCTTGCATTTATATAGCTCCCTTCAGGTGGGGCTGCAACTCGGAGTGCTTAGCAGAGGAGCGCTCTGAGACGCCGTCCAGTGTGGAGGGCGCTATATAAATCCAAGTTGTTGTTGTTGTAGCAAAGGCAGAGCCTGACCCAGTGCCGGGATAAGGGAGGAGGTGACCGTAAGCACAGACTACGCTGTGCCAGAGGAAGAATCATAGAGATAACATTCTCTGTAAGACGTATTGATGTAGGTTATTGTCGTGGGTCCATAAGAGAGGATCAAACCTACATATGCAACAGGAGAAGAAGTTTGGTGTGGATAATGGCATACTTGCGTTTGATATGTTGCCTATAATGGCAACATCTCGAGCTTCGCAGGGATTTGCTGTGAAGTGTATTGACTACATTTGTAAGCAAATATAGCAGTAATGTTGTGCACAACTAGGTCCTATGAACGGTTGAGCAATTTATCTGGAGGATCATTGGACAGGACATCTCAAAGTGCTGTGCTTTGTTGATGAATTTGCCAATGTGAACACAGCAATATCCTACAACAGCTCAGGAGTGAGTTGCCAAATGCTTGCATTTGATATAACATTGTTCATGTCTGGAGGACATCTCATAGAGCTTAACAGGATTTACCTTAATGGGCAGTGACTACTTTGTAGGTGAATCATGGGAGTGAGCTGTACAGACTAGGAGGGTGCCACTTTAATCCCTGCTCTGTGCCAAATCAACTGATTTTAGTAGGACAAGCAATGAAGAGACTAGACTACAAGTGTCCCCAAGCAAAATGATTTCAGGAGAAGAGAAAAAAGCAGCTATTTATGCAGAATTCATGCTCCATTGAAGAGCACTGAGCAGATTTAATGTATTGTGACATTTTAGTCCAGTAAATGTTATTTCTTTGATTTAATTCAGTAATTTCCTTTTATTTTTCTCAGCACTGTGCAGCACCGTGAGCTTGTCAATCCAGCCAGTATGAAACAAGCCCTCATCGCTTCTGCCCGCAGACTGCCTGGAGTTAACATGTTTGAACAGGGCCATGGAAAGCTGGATCTGCTGAAAGCCTATCAGATTCTGAAAATCTACAAGCCTCAGGCTAGGTGAGTTCCAATGAGGTCTGATACCTGCTGTCCCTCCCCTGCCCCTTCTTCTGTCAGTAGTCCCCTCTTTTCCCAACTTCAGGTTGGGTGACATTTGCATGGGCAGCCCAAGTGGCTGCTGGGTTCACCCACAAAACACATCACTTTACAGAATATCCTGCGAAGCTCTTTGAGACTTCTCAACTTTGCGATAAGGCACTATATCAAATACATTTAATTATTATTAAATGATCATTCACCATATGAGTGCCTGGACAGTGAATGACAGTGAGGAACATCGTGCCTGCTCCCTTTTCATTTCCAAAACATCTGGTTCTATTGAATTCGGTTTGCATTATGAATGGGACAAATTTGATCGAACTGGCAAGCCAGCTCCACTGAAATACCTTCATAGTTTAAGCCTGACATATCAGTACTGCAGCCAATTCAGCAAGTTTCTCTTGAAGCTTTTTTTTAAAAGGAGCTACAAAGTCATTTGCATGTTCTTTTCACAAAACCACCCACTTGATCGACAGCTCAGGTGGTGATTCAAGATGACTTGAATTTTTAGACTCAACACTAATTGCTATGGCCTTACTGAAGTTCCTGTTATATAAGAAGCCCCCAAATAGACTTCTAAGAGTGATCCCATGGCGCATAGGTTAAACAATTGGCTTTATTTCATTGGAGTAGAGACGATGAAGAGGTATACAAAATTATGAGGTGTTTGACATGGTGAACAGAGAGAGAATTCTCACTGGCAGGTGAGTCAGTGTCTATGGGACACCGAGTTAATAGCCATAAGACTAAAAGGAGAACTTAGGAGAATTTTTTTCACAGAGCTGTTGGGATGTGGAGTGAACTACCAAATAAGGTGGTAGAGGCAGAGTTCATTGTAGGTTTCAAGAGGGAAGTGAGTTGATATATGAAAATTAGAGGCACGAATGGGGAAAAAGGATAGAGCTGGGCTATAGGATTGAATGGCCACCTTGCTCTGAGAACTGTGCAGACTTAATTGGGTTGAATGGCCTCCTTTTGTACTGTAAATTTCTATATTGAAACTATAAATTCCTTTCCGATCATTGTGCTCTATAAACATCTGTTCTGTGATTTCAGTTCCCTGTAGAAATCCAATTTAAATGGCTGGTTCACTTTAAAAGGTGCTTTGCGTACTGCCAGTTTAAAAACAACCTTCCTCCAAGCCCCGGATTAGCTATATTTCTCCACTCCAGCTGCTCTTAGAAATGACTGCACCTTAGGGAGGAAACAGCTGTCTTCCTGTTCATATGATTATGAAACTCACCTGCAACAATCCTGATCACCTCTTCAGGGTTTGGTGTCCCCACTTTAGGTTTGTCCGGAGCCCTCATCTAGCTTTAAATTGTAGTATGTTTCTGATCCACCAAAAATCGACTGCTCTGATCAACGTAGAAAAGTTTGGAATGTTTTAGTTCAGGCATCTCTCCAGTTTATTCAGCTCATTCTGTCACGCTGAATGTGTTGTGGGTAACATTACACACAAAGTTTCCATTGCAGTAACTTATCAATACTATCACGTTCACTTTACATTGCCTGCTGTCCTGTCCTAAACAATGAAATACTTCTGATTGTCAGTTAGGAAATGATCAGACTTCAGCCTTATTGGATGCTTTCTTTGTAATGTGGTTCATTCTAAAAATATCTTAAGGTTTTGCAGCAAAGATCTGTTCAGGATGCGCAGGAAGTGTCCTCATGCTGGTGACCTTAACGCCACAATCCCATGATTTATTGTAATAGACCAACTACCTTGAAAAGCTGAATTCTGTTATATGACTGTTCTGAACAGGATTTGATCTCTTCTGAAAGCTTGAATATCTTTAGAAGATGGGGTCACTCTGATTGATGAACATCTGGGTCTCACTTAGCACCAGACTTGGTTAGTCAGCTTGGTCACATCCAAAAGCACTGTTGGGAACATGGTCCTGGATATGATTTTACTAAGTAACTTTATTCCTTTCAGCCTAAGTCCCAGCTACGTTGACCTGACCGAATGCCCTTACATGTGGCCCTACTGCTCCCAGCCCATTTATTATGGAGGCATGCCAACTATAGTCAACCTTACAATCTTAAACGGCATGGGGGTCACTGGTAGAATCGTTGACAAGGTAAGGATGACTGAATGAAGGTTGAGAATGGTTTAGAGATGTGCAGGATGCTAGTGAAACCTGTTTTAGTACTAGAATAGAATTCAAAATTGACAAAGTGCCTGAAATGTCCTTTTATTTTGGAAGCAGAGTGCTGATCTGTCAGATACCAGTTACTGCTCATTTCTTATTAAATACTGTACAAAATGTACCGACAGGATCAATCATTCCAAAATCAGTACAGCAAGAACACTGGTATTATCAGACCTTTCTGGCAGAGGAAATTGAAATATTTTTGTGGCCACATTACGTTTAGTTTGACACTGGTTTAAGTGGTTTCAGGACTTGGTTGAATGTGGGGAAATTATGAAAAAAATTTCTTTGGTCAGCCGTGTATCTGACACATGCGGAAACCCATCACCATGCTTAAGAGTGTTGAAACCAAACAGAATTCTATGCATCCCATCTACTTTGGTTAAACTACAGGAGTCCTGTAGCTCAGTGGTTAGAGCACTCGCTTTGCAAGCAAGACACCTGGGTTCAATTCCAGGCAGGGTGAAACCTTGGGCAAGTTTCCTTATAATAATCCCTCCAAAACAAAAAAAAAGTAAATTGGTCATTTTCAATCCACGACTGTTTGTGGGACACTGCTGTGCGCAATTTGCTCCCGTGTTTCGCCCACAAATATACGGTCAATTCATTTTACAGTCTATTCTGTGAAGCGCTTTGAGACGTCGAGAAGACGTGAAAAGCGCTATATCGAATGCAAGGATTATATAAAACTGATGAATCAGAAATAAATTGCTAGATCTGAACTGCAGGATTGCTGTCCACAGATTTTGACTTTTCCAGGGTTACAGGAGTTTTTATGTGGGTTTTGGAATGTGCACAGTGAATCTGGAGCTTTCTTCTTATTCATTTATAGCCTTGATTTTGAGTTACAAAGCAGAATGAAGTTTATTAACTTTTCTGTTCAATACTTGCCTTGTGTGTGTCTATATAATGCAATCCAGCATCTGAGCTACCAGTCCTTGGAGATTAGGATTGATTTTACGGCCAGCAATTCTGCCCAACTTGGCGTCCAAAATCCTCAGAAAACCTTGCACCTTATGTTTGTAGGTAACCACTGATTGTTTGTCTGAAATAAAAACAGAAGCCGCAGGGAACCCGAGCAGGTCAGGCAGCATCTATGGAGCGAGGAAAATTAGTTAACGTTTCAGGTCGATGACTTTTCTTCAGGACTGAGTTAACAAATTTTCCTCTCGCCATAGATGCTGCCTGACCTGCTGCGTGTTTCCAGCAATTTCTGTTTTAATTTGAGATTTCCAGCATCTGCAGTATTTTGTTTTTTGCCTTTTGACTGTTTGTCTGAATTGGGTAAACCTCTCATGTGTATATCTCATTTTTCTTCCAGCCCATATGGCAGCCTTATTTGCCCCAAAATGGAGACAACATTGAGGTAGCTTTCTCCTATTCCCAGGTTCTCTGGCCTTGGTCTGGCTTCCTGGCCATATCCATATCTGTCGCCAAGAAAGCTGCCTCTTGGGAAGGGATTGCTCAAGGTCACGTGATGGTTACCATTGCCTCGCCCGCTGAAAATGATGTAAGTGTGTTCAGCAACAGCTTCCCTTGTACTTAATGCCTTATGAAATGGAAATACTCCTTAAGAGCCCAGACATACAAGTCCACGATGCAGTTAATGTCAGATCAAAGTGCACTGGTTCATTGATCATGCTGGAAATACTAAAGTGCCATCTAGTGACCAGTGCTGACAATTACCCCTTTCAAATGGCGAGGAAACAGTGAATATTGGAATAGTAGTTTGACTGGATTTCTGTTTGCAAGGCAGTTTATTTTGCTGGGTGTGCTGGTAGCCGTATTTACCTTAGATTGGAGAGAACATAGAGGTGGCTTTTGTGTATTCCAAAGTTATCTGGCCATTGTCAGCTTCCTGGCAATATCAATATCGGTTTGAATGTCAGTCAGTTCTTATAAATTAGATTGCACCATTAGGTAAATGTGCACCCTCCATTTGTGTAACAGAATAAAAATCTACCAAATTCTTGTAGACCCGTCAAACTAAAAGCACATGCAGTTCAGCTAACATTGGGATACAAGTTAGGTGCTGGTGCTGGTGCTTCCCTGTAACAACTGAGGTAATGTGACATAGTTGGTGGAGACTTCAGTTTCCAGAAAGAATCAGGTTCGTCCAATTGTCCAGATGTTTTTTGAGCTTTGTCTCAAGGATGCATTTGAAAGCAAAACATTACTGATTCCAAGTATTGCATTTGATCACTGAGCAGCCTGGAATTCGAAGACTGCAGTGTTGCTGGTTGTCTGTATAAGTGTCTGTATAGTTCCGATAATCCCAGTTATTTCCCTTTCTTGCTGCAGTCTAAAAGTGGTAATGAAATGACATCGACCATAAAGCTGCCAATCAAAGTGAAGATCATTCCAACGCCACCCCGCAGTAAGAGAGTCTTGTGGGATCAGTACCATAACCTGCGCTACCCTCCTGGATACTTCCCCAGGGACAATTTACGCATGAAAAATGACCCATTGGATTGGTGAGTTTGTACAAGGAAGTCCTGTTCAACACCTTATTCTCTTTTCTCCACCTCTTCCATCCTTGTCTTGCCCCTCTTTTCTCTTCCCAGCACAAAATATATAGATAAACAGTGCGCTGACTTTATTCCACAGTTTGATACTAATCTTCAAAATGTATTTGAAGAACATGTTGTGCTATTTGAATCAAAAACTGTATGGAAAGGAAATTTTACATTAGTTTGTTCCAAATGTAGATGAAAATAGTTAACGGAAAAAGAACAGAGCAGTTTCTTTCTGATAAAGGCCACAAGTTAAACCCACCATCAATAACAGCACTTCCTCAATCCTTTAACTTCAGTAATTAAAGAGGAACCTTCTATCAAACCATGGGGGGCAATCGCATGAGAACAGCATGCTGTATGATCGGATGACCTTACCTCTCCCAATCTGCTGTAGAGGAAGCCCTAATCTCTCTCTTCTGTAATTGTTAGCGAATCTTCATTTCCCAAATGAATGCTCAATTTACTACACGAGTATGTTTGTGGGGGGTGGTATGTACATATGTTCTGTGGTCAAGTTTTTCCAGTTAAATGTGCAACCCTCAACACCATCATTACACCATCTTAAACAGGATCTCCAGGGCAAAGCTCAGTGTTTCCTTAAATGGGAAATAATCCCTGTGTGGTTGAGCATCCCAACGTAAGTGTTGTTAAGTCTGAGGGTGCTTATAGCTAATGGAAATAAGTCGGGGGTTGGGGGGGAGGAGTGCTCTCTGTCTGCAGTTTTCTCCTGAGCTCTTTGAGTAAATTTGTTAATACTTTATTATGATGATAGTGGTAGATTTAGGATCCACACAATCACGTAGAGATTATTTCCCCTTTATGCAAACACTGAAATCCTGTTTAAGATGGTGTAGTGATGGTGTTGGGGATTTGCCTTCTCCAGTACCAACTCCAGGTCCGCTGATGTTCTATCGCTTGTCGGGCCTGGATAAGTGCAAACTTCCTGCAGTTGAATGTGGACAAGACGGAAACCATCCTCCTTGGCTCCCATCAACCTCTTCACTCCTGCGGATCTAAACTACTCAACCTTCCTGGGCTCTCGCTCAGACTCACCAAACCAGTGCGCAATCTAGGCGTCTGATTCGCCCCCCAGCTGTCCTTCCTCCCCCACATCCGGTTCCCCACAACCCTACCATCGGAGTTCGCGCTTTCAGCCACTATGCCCCGAAACTCTGGAACGCTCTCCGTCAATCCCTCCGCCTTGCCATGTCTCTCCCCTTTTTCAAGTCCCGTCTGAAAACCTTCCTCTTCCACCGTGCTTACGGCTACCTCCCCAAACCCCCCCCGAGGCTCGGACTGAGGCTCCGCATCTGTTGAGCGCTCTGAGACACTACCCTGCGTGGAGGGCTCTATATAAGTGCAAGTTTTTGTGTTGTTGCTCATCCTAATGAGGAAACCACCTACATAGGGAGATTGATCATTCCTCACTGGTGCCTGATCTATTTTATGTCTTCTCTGCTATCTTCTGAGTTGAGGATGTGGGTTGAAGCCCCACATCAGGACATTGAACTCATAGCCTTGGCTCACGTTCCAATTCAGTGCTGGTGGGGGGGGGGCTGCATTGTCAGATGTGTTGTCCTTCGGATAAGATGATAAACGTATTCAAGGGGACTTTAAAATCTCACACCACAATTCTAAAAAGCAAGAAATTTCTCCAGGTTGACAGGCTTCCAGATAAAATTGCTCATTTACTTTGTGGCTGTTAGTGGGATATTGTATGCAAATTGGCTGTCAGGTTTGCCTAAAATAGTCACTACACTTGGAAGCAAAATCCTGAGAAATGCTTTGAGATTTTTACCTGACATGAAAGTGGCTGTAACAAATTGTGAGTATTATTATGATTCGTTAGAAAGGGAGATAACGAGTCATACTATGTCAAGCTTATTCCAGAGGTGAAAATAAACTGTTCTCACACATCTCTCTTGTCTCTGCATTAGGAATGGTGACCACATACACACCAACTTCAGAGACATGTACCAGCACCTGCGGAGCATGGGATATTTTGTGGAGGTCCTCGGAGCACCTATCACCTGTTTTGATGCCAGTCAGTATGGTGGGTACACCGTAGTGTGTTAACGTTCAGTTGCTCTTACCTAGTTTGACAAGACTTCTTTATGTTGGAAGTGATAAGTTCAAGTTACCACAAGTTACAACACTAGCTCAACCAATATTTGTGGTGTGGGTGCAAAGTTGTGCAACTGTGACTTGAAGTTTCACACAAAGTGGATTCCTAAAAATTTGATCAACGGCGTGAAGTTCTCACCAAAATAAAAATAGCGGTTTATCATTACTACATACTTTTTGAGGTCAGAGAAGGTGTTCATTTTTAAACTGATTTCAGAGAGCATTTTTTCCTATCATCTCTGGCTTCGTGTGGCAACTTTTTATCCCTGAAAAAAGTTGCCTCTGTTCTTCGTTGCCTCTTTCATCCTATTCACCTTTCCTCTCCTTGGGAAGTTATTCACATTCATCCTTGTCATAAGAAAGATTCTTTGGGTCTCTAATGTTTTCAGCTGGCCTCTTTTCAGCACAGTTACTGTCCTGCTAAAGTAGAATTCCTGTTGTATCTGACAATATAATGAAGAGAATGCAACCTTGTTTGTGGTAGTTGACTCAGCATCAGGGGTGGAACTCTCTTTCCCATCTATTGGTTGATGTGAACCACTGCTCATTTTTCAGACGTTGTTGCGTTAACTTATTCTCTGACAAGAGAGTTGTACAGAATCAGAGTAAGTTATTGTACGCGTGGGTTGGGGTGCTGGGGAGAAGAGGAAAGATCTACTGTGGTGTTAAACTCTTAGTGGTACCCCTTTATAAAGTGGCATTTGTGAGTTGATTAAGAACATGAAGGCCAATCATGTGGTCTAACATTAGGTTTGAAATATTTTTTCTATTGAGTGGTGACACTTGGAACCTTGTAGGTTGTGAACGATTTTTCACCCAAGAAAATATTTGTGATCGAGTTTCAGGTTAATCACCATCTGCTTTTGAGCTGATTGCTGCAGCTGTGCCATTGCTCCAACCAGTTCTGCTGCCTGTGTACTGATACTTGCATTGTTTTTGGCAGGCACTTTGCTGATGGTAGACAGTGAAGAGGAATACTTTCCTGAGGAGATCACCAAACTGAGGCGAGACATTGATAATGGCCTGTCTCTAGTCGTTTTTAGTGACTGGTACAACACATCTGTAATGAGAAAAGTAAAGTTCTACGATGAAAACACAAGGTACAGCACTATTTGGTCTTTGGTCTTTACATGATTATAGATATTATTTGATTCCATTTTGGGCATGTGCTTTATTGGAGGGTGGAAGGGGCTGGAAGGTTAGCACTACTAGTGAACTGTGAGCAGACCATTTATACAACACAGTTGGATCCTTTGTTACTTGTTGGTACTTTCAAGACATTCTACTGTACTTGTATTTTGCCCTAAATTACTTTAATTCTGTTCAAAGAAAAGACAAAATCTTGAGGAGGAATACTTTGTCTAGAGGGTGGGTTTGGAGGGTGGGAAAGGGAAGGAGTCTAGCAGGCAGTAAAGGACTCTGGCCAGCAGCAACATGAGGAAAGAACATAATAATAAAAATAATAATAATCCTTGCATTTGATATAGCGCTTTTCACGTCTTCTAGACGTCCCAAAGCGCTTCACAGAATGTACTGTAAAGTGAATTGACTGTATATTTGTGGCGAACGCAGCAGCCAATTGTGCACAGCAATGTCCCACAAACAGTCGTAATAAGAATTGGGTTTGAGATGTTTTTGGTCAGGCAATAATGTTACTTGCAAACAGTGCTTTACTCTCTTGCTTGCTGCCAAACACGTTTAAATTCATAACATTGAATCCAGGTGAACCCAACTTGTTTCGTGTCTCTAACTAAAGCAGCACCTTTTCCTATACCTACTCATGCAAGTGTTTTTTTTTGCTTGTTTTGCATTCTACAGGCAATGGTGGATGCCGGACACTGGGGGGGCTAACATCCCAGCGCTCAATGATTTACTGTCAGTGTGGGGAATGGCTTTCGGTGATGGCCTGTATGAAGGAGACTTCAGCATGGCAAACCATGACAGTATGTCTCCAGCTATATTGCCTCGATCTAAGTGTAAAATGTGGTTGGCTTCTTGATGGTTAAATTTAAAAATTAAATGAGCGTTTGTATAAATACGTGACACTCATTAAAAAAAAACTCCATAGTCGTCTCCGTCTATTCTACTGTGCCTTCTCATCATCTTAGTACAAGCTAGAATTCTTGGTTTTAACCGCTATTTATATTGTGTTCATATGGAAATGATCCGGCATAAAATCTGAACTCCTTTTGTTTTCCAGTGTATTATGCCTCAGGCAGCAGCATTGCTAAGTTTCCAGAGGATGGATTGGTTCTTGCTCACACTCTAAAAGACCAAGGTAGGAACTACACGTTTTTGTCCCCATGTAATTTAAGTCATTTTTTTCCTACATAAGTTAATTTCCTAAGTAATTGAAGAGCTCTGAGATGCAACCTGTGTGAGGAACGCTATATAAATGCAAGTTGTTGAAGTAGTTTAAACCGATATTTAAGTTTGAGTTTTCTTTGAGTTTTCTTATTGATTCAGACTTAATGAAAGAAAATCTGATGGTCCAGAGATCTAAGAGCCTCTTAAATGTGAACAGCTACAGTATTTACACTTTTTGACTGGTAGAATACAAAATTACATTTGTATAGAGCCTTTCATGTCGGGAGGACGTCCCCAGGTGCTGGTATAAAAGGAAACTGAATTTCTCTTCTTTAGCCCACTCCACCTCCTGTGACACCATTTTCTCAGTGAAAAATGCAGACAAGTGATTTTTTCACAGCCAACCAATATCGTTTGTGAACTGGTTTACAACAGGATTAGTAAGAGCAATAGATGATCTTCATTCCCCTCCCCATCCCTTNAAAAAAAGTGAGTTGGTGGAGGATTTTACCTTTGTCTTGTTCCTAATTTTCAAATGCAAATCTACCAAATGCTATCTCTTGGATCAATACAATAGACAACTTGAAGAAATGAACGTAAAACATTTAGGTATGATTGCAAGTTGAGTTGCAGGGATGTTGATGTGAAACCTTTGTGACGGGAAAGGTGCTCTGCCGTCTGGCTTACACACCAACAATTGTTGATTCACAGAGTCCTCTCCAAGTTGCTCAGAAAGTGTTGCTAAGTTTTTGGGCTCGTGATCAGCAAGACATTTGCCCGCTTCACAATTGCATCACCTCTTAGACACCAGTAACTGCTAAGCTGTCCTTGGCTATTGCTCAACAGTCACTTTCTTTTAATAACAACTTAAACAGCACACGGTTACCCCTTCATATTCCTTCAGCCTTCTGAGGACTGAAGACGCATTTCTGCAATTCATCCAAAAATAACAATAAAGCATTTGAATCTAGTTCTCATCTTTACCTATTACCCTCTCCCTGGGGAGATCAGATCCATCTGTATTTATTTTAGAGTGGATTATTTTGTTGACTATTGTATAAATAGATGTTCCAGATTTGTTTCTAATCACGTTGATTATTTTGCTATTTATCTTATGAAAAATCATTGTTTGCAGAGTTTTGGAAGCTTGACTCATGTTGCTATCTTTAGTGGTTGTTGGCAGAAGCTGGAGTGTACTAAAGGAACTGCAGGAAACGTAGAAAGACTGAGAGGAGAGAAAGGAGTGCTGCAAATAGCCTCAGTATGTTGATCCTTCTCACTATTCAGTAATTCCCTGCCCAAAGTGCGGGGGTGTTTGTCGGGAGGGTGGGGGCGTGGGGTGGAGTGGTGTATCTGGACACCAAGTGAAGACAGAATTGAGCTAGAGACTGGTGGCTGTCGGTGGTAAGCCACCAATATCCTCAGACCAGATTCCTTTATGAAGAGCTGTCACTGATGCACAAGGACTGGAATTGCCTATGGATTCACACTTAAGGGGAGGATGGAAAAAGTCAGGAACGAGTTACAGGAGAGAAATCAACAGAAATTCATTCTGTATCCCGGTGCCTTAGGATATCTTTATATCCAGCATCTTGGAACGTTCTCCCGATATGAAAGGCGCTATACAAATGTCGTTTTATATTGCATTGCCAGGAGAGAAAGGAGACTAATACCTGGATTTCAAGTTGACTTTTAGAGGTGAAATAGGAATGTCTATTCATGGCATATTGCACCAAGTTGAAGGGGAATGGGAGCACTCCAGAACTGGAGCTGCTATTTTTTTAAAAAAGAGTTTCGGGAATGTGGCTGTTGGATTTTGAAGACTATTGCTTTGGCCATCCGAGTACAAAGCAATTTAGTTAAGACTGCAAATCCATTTGAAGCAATCCTTTATTCAAGTCCTGTTTGTCTTTAAAGTAATTCACTCTGAATTGATCAAAAGGCTCATTTCCAGGATGGCCATAGAGTGAAATAGTTAAACATTTTAAGAATTTGTGAATAAGAAAAATAACCTGGAAAAAACTCACACAAGCTAATAAAAAAAATCTCTAGGAAAAATAATAATAATAATAATCCTTGCATTTTATATAGAGCCTTATCATGCCTGTGAGATATCTCAAAGCGCTTCACAGAATTGACTGTATATTTTGTGGGTGAAACGTGGCAGCAAATTGCTCACAGCAGCGTCCCTCAAACAGTTGTGGATTGAGTGACCAAATTAATTGGTTTCAGGGGAGGTCAGAGTATTATCTGAATGAAATCATTCACATCCCAAAAAATCAAACTATCAGAAAAACAAGACTAATCCTATTTACCAAAAGACGGAGAGGATCTGCCAACATGGCATTAGCCTTCCTAGTTGCTTGCTGCACCTGCAGACTAACTTTTTGTGACTGGAGTACAAGGACACCCAAATCCCTCGTAACACTACCTAGTCTCTCCTCCTCTCGAAAATAATCCACTTTTCTATTTTTACTACCGAGGTGAATAACTTCACACTTCCCCACGTTATACTCCATCTGCCACCTTCTTACCCACTCATCCAGCCTGTCTATTTCCCTTTGCATTCTTCGTGTGTCATCCTCAAAGCTTACTCTCCCACCTATCTGCATATCGTCCGAGAATTTAGATATATTAAGTTCTATATGTTAAGTTCTAAATCATTGATATAGACTTAAATAATTGAGGCCCAAGCACTGATCCTTGTGGCATTCCACTAGTCACATACTGCCAATCTGAGAAGGACCTGTTTATCCCTACTCTCTGTTATCTTCCTGTTAGCCACTCTCCCAATCCATGCTAATATATTGCCTTTAATTCCATGGGCTCTAATCTTATGCAACAGCCTTTTATGTGGCGCCTTGTTGAATGCCTTCTGGAAATCCAAATACACCACATCTACTGGTTTCTCCTCTATCTAACCTGCTAGTTATATCCTCAAAAAAACTCTATAAGATTTGTTAAACAAGATTTCCCTTTCGTAAAGCCATGTTGACTCTGCCTAATCATGTTATGATTTTCTAAGTACCCCATGACGACGTACCTGATTAAGGACGCCAGAATTTTCCCTGCCACCGATGTCAGACTAACTGGTCTATATTTTGTCTTCCACCCTTCTTAAATATCAGCATCATGTTTGCGACCTTCCAATCACTGGGAAGCATTCCAGAATTCAAGGAATTTTTGAAGATCAAAAACAAAGCATCCATTATCTCTGCAGTCACCTCTTTCAAAACCCTAGGTTACAGGCCATCAGGTCCAGGGGATTTATCGGTTTTTAATCCTATCAATTTCTCTAGTAATATTGCTTTATTGATGTTCATTTCTTTAAATTCCTCACACACATTAGCCTCCAGGTTCCCCTCTATTTTTGGTAAGTTTTCAGTGTCCTCTAACGTGAACATAGAAGCAAAATAATTGTTTAATGACTCTGCCATTTCTTTAATCCCCATTAGAATTTCTCCTGTCTCTGCCTGAAATGGACCCACATTCACTTTTCCTCTTTGTGTACTTGTAAAATCTCCTACAATTTGTCTTTATGTTCCTAGCAGGTTAATCTCATATTCCATTTTCTCCCTCTTAATCAGTTTCTTGGTTTCCCTTTGCTGATTTCTAAAGCCCTCCCAATCCTCAGGTTTACTGCTCTTTTTAGCAGTATTATAAGCCTTTTCTTTTAATGTTATACTTTCCCTAACTTCTCTAGTTAGCCAAGGCTGAACCACTTTTCCTGTGGTATTTTTATTTTTCAAGGTGATCTATATGATCGCTGGGAATTATGTATTATATCTTTAAACATTTGCCATTGTTGGGCTACGTCATTTTTTAATCTAATTTCCCAGTATATTTTAGCCAATTCTTCTTTCATACCTGCAAAGTTGGCTTTATTTAGATTTAAAACCCTTGCTTCGGATTCAACTCTATCACTCTTTAACTTAATGTTAAATTCCATCATATAATGGTCACTCTGCCCTAGAGGAGCCTTAACTTCTAGATTACTGATTAGCCCTATTTCATAACACAAAACAAGATCTAGGATAGCCTGTCCCCTGGTTGGTTCCTCAGCATACTGTTCTAGAAAACTATAATGCATTCCATAAACTCATCCTTAATTTACCTTTGCTAATTTGGTTTTCCCAGTCTATATGAAGATTGAAATCACCCACTATTAGTGTATTCCCCTTGCTACAAGCTCCTCTAAATTCCTGATTAATACCCTGCCAATACTGTAACTGCTGGGGTCTTGGGGTCTATAAACTACTCCCACTAGTGTTTTCTACCCCTTCATGGCCTTGAATAACCATTAGATGTGCCGGCTTGTGATCCAGTTCTAAATGACAGGAAATTTTCATCAGTTGATCCTGGCTTGATATTGGATTTCTGCTTTCAGACTCCAGAAAGACTGGAGGAGACCAGCTTGGAATAACTAATTCATCTCTGTTCATTCTGTTCCAATTTATGTCATTGTCTTATTATTTCTGTGGCGGAATTTTCTGCAGTGTTCTGAAGAGAACGCCAAACTAGCATGTACCTGGTCAGGTGAGGTAGAGGTGACCTGTCTTTAGTGTAATCAGGAGGCTAAAAAAGGCTTGCTGGTGGTGTCAAGTTCATTGTGTTTAGTTTTGAGCCAAATTTATTTGAAGTGAGAGAAGCCACGTTTTATAAAGTTTCGCTTTGCCAGGAAACCTAATCACTACGTTAATGTTGTTTTGCTGCTGCAGAAATGATGTCCAAAATAAACCCAGCTGTGATGTACCACAGATTTCTTTCTATTTTCTATTTGTTTCCGAGTCAATAAAGCCTTTCTTGAGGCACAATTGTGAAAAGGTCAGAACGATGAACTTTGTTGACTCACGGTTAAGTTACACAGCCTCCTGATAAACACATCACTGTACAAAGCAGGCCTCTCTGCAGGCAAAGCATCTTTGTACAGTGGGATCAGGGACACAGTTTATTGTGGTACATACCGGAAAATAATTCTCACTGGATTTTGATGAGTTAAGTATCTGGGATATTTCAGGTGTACTTTAATTCTATTGTGCAGTTTTCTCTAATGGAACTATGTACTGCAGCTGTGGGTATCAGTGGATTAACATACTAATGAAGAGATTGCAACCTCCACAATGAGAATCTCAAATAGATAAATAGCCTTTCCATTTTAAATTCTGCCTTAGGAATATAGGAACAGGAGGAAGCCATTCAGCCCCTCAATCTTGTTCCGCCATTCTACTTGATCACGGCTGATCTGTACCTCAACTCTACTTACCCGTTTTTGCTGCATGTCCCTCGGTACCCTGACCTAACAAAAATCTGTCCGCCTCAGACGTGAAAATTTGAATTGATCCAGCTTCCACAGCCTTTTGTTCCACAACCTTGTTTCTTGTTAAAGTATGAGGATTTTCTTCTGCTCCTCGCTTTACAGAGTTTGATACAATTGCAGCACAATATTATGTTATTATTCATATACTCCAATCTTGGTCTTGTGTTTTCCAGGACTGGAAGTATTAAAGCAGGAGACCAAGATTGTGAATAATGTCCCTGTGCTTGGATTGTACCAGACGCCCTCTGAAGGTGGTGGCCGTGTTGTTTTGTATGGAGATTCCAATTGCCTGGATGATAGCCATCGACAGAAAGGTAAAGTGCTTTATGAACTTTGCGGTGGATTGTACGTTATCTTCTCGATTCTGTGTTAGTGCTCTCCTCAGTGATATAGTAGAAAACCTTTATTCAGAGAAGTGCAGATCTTGCGCAAATGACTAAAGATAGCGGTCTTTTCAAATACAAAATTACATTTGTATAGCGGCTTTCACTATGACTTTATGATGGAACTTATTCTAACCCAGAGGTGAGAGCACTGCCAAGTGAGCCAAAGTGAACGCTGGCATTAAAGCTTTGGGCACCATTTGGTTCTAGTTTTTTCATAGTTTGAAGGATGACTGCATGTTTCTGCTCTGTCCCTAGACTGTTTCTGGTTGCTCGATGCTCTCCTTCAGTACACCTCTTATGGAGTGATGCCCCCAAGTCTAAGCCACTCGGAGAACAGGCAGCAACCACCTTCTGGCCTTGATCACCCTCTACCTGAGAGGATGGAAGGTAAGGCTATGTGCTGACAGGAAATTCAGGAGTATGAGATATTCCCTTTGCAAACGTAACTTTGTCTATCTGTCCCTCTCTTTCTCTTTATCACAGGCCTCAAATTATTGGGATTTTTGCTGTAAACTGGGTTGGTTTCTATTTACAGTATTACATTAAAGTCAAAACAAACCTAATTATAGGGGAGTTGGAAACTCTTGATTTGGATTGCAGTATTTTTGCAGTATAACTTACCTCAAATACCTTCTAAATCTGAAATTTCCTGGCATTCAGCACCCACACAAGTCAGGAAGCAAAACTTGCAGTTTGCTGTGATTATTACAGCAGTTCATTTTCATTATTTTTAATAACCATCTCTTTTTGTTTCTGCTTCACCCATCGAATGGTCCATTTTTCTTTCCCAAAAATGTATTCCAGTCTCTGCTGTCACTAAATGGTAAATTGTCTCTCAAACTCTGTGGGAACATAATAATAATATTAATAATCCTTGCATTGGATTAAGCGTCGTTGAGACATCTCAAAATGCTTCACATTTTTATTGGTAAAATGTATTTTGTGGGTGAAATGTGGCAGTTGCACACAGCAGTAGCCCGTAAACAGTCATGGATTGAGTGAGCAATTCTTCTTGAGGGATTATTACCCCTGGAAAGCGATCCACCCAACCGACTAACAACTGGGTTGCCACTTACTGCTAGGTAAACAGAGGCATGTGGAGTAAAGAAACTTGCCACACCCAGAATCAGATTCTGTAGCACTGACTGGAGCTTGCCACTGAGATATTTTGAGATGTTTTGTTATTGGCATAACTGAAACACTGGACAAGTTCCTTTATTATATTTAATGTAATAGAGTAACATAGCAACAAGAATAGGCTGCTGCATGTGCTCTACCATTTTATTAGACCATGGCGGATCTTCTAATGCCATTTAACCGAATATTTGCTTATAATTGTATCTGAACTGGTGCTGTTTATTTTGTGGGCTGATCGATTGAGCTTTTAATGAAGTCCGAGGATGCCTACAGATTTGGTTCTAATTTTATTTGATCTGATTTCCTAGGCAACCACTTATATCGGTTTTCCAAGGTTCTGGAGCCTCACCTTGCAGATCCCAAGCCCCGTCCTCTGCCAGCATGCCCTCACCTCTCCTGGGCCAAACCACAGCCTCTAAACGAGACTGCACCAAGGTCAGTGTGTGCCATGGCTCCCGGGGTTCTTCTTGTGGGTCGATATGGATAGAAGAAATATTAATCGTATTTAAATCAAGAAACTTGAAACCTTGATAATCCTGGACGAGAGACAACTTTAGCTCAACGTGCGCAAAACTGAGGCCCTCCTGATTGGCTCGCGTCAGCGCCTCCGCACTTCGGGCGCTGACAGCATCAGCATCCAAAGCTGCACTCTCCACCTCTCAAAGCCGGTCAGGAACCTCGGTATTCTGTTCGACCCTGAGCTGTTCTTTCTTCCCCACATCTGTGCCACAACTGGCACCGCCTTCCACCACCTCCGGAACATCGCCAGACTACGGCACTACCTCACCCCTCACGCTGCTGAAACACTGGTCCACGCCTTTATCACCTCAAGGCTGGACTACGGCACCTCCCTCCACAAGCTGCAGGTCATTCAGAACTCTGCAGCTCGTGTACTGTCCCGCACCAGGCTTCGCAACCACATCACTCCCACCCTCGCTCGCCTCCACTGCTCCCCATCCCCCAGAGGATCGAATTCAAGATCCTCATCCTCACCTACAAGGCCATTCACGGCTTTCACCCTCCTACCTCTCTGACCTACTATCCCCCTACCTACCTGCCCGTACCCTCCGTTCCTCTGGCTCCAGTCTGCTCCACATCCCCCGCCCTAACCGCCCTACCATCGGTGGCCGGGCTTTCAGCCTCTCAGCCCCTAGACTCTGGAGCTCCATCCCCCAGTGCCTTCGCCTTGCTTCCTCCCTTTCCTCCTTCAAGGCCGGTCTAAAGACCTTTCTCTTCAGCCGTGTCTTCAGCTCCCCTCTCGACTCTCTACCCCCTCCTCGCTCCCTCCCTTCCCTCCCCTCACCCTGACCATTTCCCCCCTGCCCGGGTCCCGACCCAACTGTCCAGCGCCTTGGGATGTCCTCCCGACGTGAAAGGCACTCTATAAATGCAATCTTGTTGTTGTTGTTGAAATGTATTGCATTTGAACAGTGCTTCATCACATTACTGAGACTTCTCAAATTGCTTCACAAGATTTACTGTAGAGTGAAGTGACTGTGTAGGTCAACATGACAGCCAATGTCCCACAATTAGCCATGAAGTGAGTGACAAATTTTATCTGGGGTCTTTTTGGCCAGGACAATTATCTATTTTCGAACAGTGTCGTGAGATCTTTCATGTCCACCTCAACAGGCAGATGGGACCTCAGTTTAACACTCATCTAAAGAAAGGCACCTCTGACAATGCAGTGCTCCCCCAACATGTAGTAGAGTGTCAACCGGGACCATAAGATCAAAGTCCTGGTGTGGGGCTTAAACCTCAAATCCTCCGATTCGGAGCAGGTATGCTGCCAACTGAACCGAACTGACATCTGTGCCTTCGACCAGGAGTTTGTGATTAGTAATCAGGGGTGGGAACCTCCAGTCCTCCCTGAGGACAATTAGTTCTATTTAGGAACTACCAAATGATATCCTTGTTCCCCGGTGTGGTTGCTTTCTACTCCTTCATTAATTAAACCAATTGAGCACGTGTGACACACAAACACCTTCTTAATGAAGTTACCTGGATGGTTAGTACACCAACAACAGCTTGCATTTATATAACGCCCCTCACGCAGGATAGCGTCCCAGAGCGCTTGACAGTGGCGGAGCATGACACTGAGCTGGGGGGCAAGGGGTTAACGATGGCACAGTCGAATAGGGAGGTCCTCAGGCGCGACCTGATGATGGGGAAGGAAGGGGCAAGGCGGAAAGATAGAGGATAGAGTGCATTCTGTGCCTCTATTGTATTGAGACTGATTTTGACTGACTACCACCCAAGATTAGGTGAGGCTGAACTTGAAAGCCCCCCCCAAAAAATGTATCGTGATAGGAACACAATGTTATTGTAGGGCAGTACAGATATGACCAACTTTTCATTATTCAAGAGCAATAACGAGGTTAAATGTATTAATCTGCACTGCAACTCACCCACATAGTAATAATAGTAATAATAATAATAATCCTTGCATTTGATATAGCGCTTTCACGTCTTCTAGACGTCTCAAAGTGCTTCACAGAATATGCTAAAAAGTGAATTGACTGTATATTTGTGGGCGAACCCGACAGCAATGTCCCACAAACAGTCATGGATTGAAAATGACCAATTTATTATTATTTTTGGTTTTGGAGGGATTATTATTAGGCTCTGTGTGGAGTAAGGAAACTTGCCCAAGGTTTCGCCCTCTGCCTGGAATTGAACTCAGGTCTCGCACTTGCAAAGCGAGTGCTCTAACCACTGAGCTACAGGACGCCACATAATGGATAGTGTGATCCTAAATCACCTGAGCATAAGTTGCTTCCCTGATGTGATCATTCAGAGTATGTCACTGTACACTGTATTCCAAAGGTGTTTTGTGTCTGCTATTTTTGCACCTTGATGTTTTCTGTGTTTAGGAGGGAGTGCTTTACACCCAGACTTAAACCATCAAGAATTTCGCCAGAGTGCCTCGTTTACAGCCCATTTGAGTTGGGCTTCACTCTATTCCTCCATTCTTCACTCCACCAACCTTTGCCTCCAATACCTCACTATTTATATTGAATTCTGCTTGCAAATTGTTTTCATTGCTTAAAATCAGGCAATAAGCTATTATAATAATAATAATTGCATTTGATAGAGAGAGCGCTTTTCACGTCTTCTAAATGTCTCAAAGTGCTTCACAAAATATACTGTAAATTGAACTGACTGTAAATTTTGGGCGAAACGCGGCTGCCAATTGCACACAGCAGTGTCCCACAAACAGTCGTGGATTGAAGTGACCAATTTTATTATTGTTTTGTTTTTCTTGAGTGATTATTATCAGGCGTGCGGAGTAAGGAAACTTGCCCAAGGTTTCGCCCTGCCAGGAATCGAACCCAGGTCTCTCACTTGGGAGGCGAGTGCTCTTAACCACTGAGCTACAGGACTCTAGTTTAACTAACTTCCTCTCAGGAATCCCACTCTTGTTGCACAATAGTTTTCATACCTGAAACTTCCATTCTCTGTTCAGTCAGGGATCAATGAAATTTCCTTTTAAATATCACAAAAGTGAATAAATTGCAGCACTAGGTACATGATTAAATGATATATGTTAATTATATATAATTATATATATATACTATATATAATATATAATTATACTACAGTACTGTAAATTAGGGCAAAACATTGGCAAGTTTCCTTGTTCCACATGTCTCTGTTTACCTAGCAGTAAGTAGGAACCCGGTTGTTAGTCGATTGGCGGATAGCTTTTCCAAGGATAATAATCCTTCCAAAAAAACAATAAAAATTTGATCATTAAATCCGCGATTGTTTGTGGGACGCTGCTGTGCCCAATTGGCTGCCGAGTTTCGCCCACAAATATACTGTCAATTCACTTTATAGTATATTCTGTGAAACACTTTTCAGATGTCTAGATGATGTGAAAAGCGCTATATCAAATGCAAGGATTATTATTATAAGTTGCTGGAAGACAGAGAGCTCTGCTTTGAGTAATCTCATGAGTTATTTTCTCTCCTCAGTAATCTCTGGAAACACCAGAAACTATTATCCATTGACCTGGACAAAGTGATTTTCCCGAATTTTAAGCAAAGCCGTCCTCAAGTGCGTCCCTTATCACCAGGTGAAAGTGGGGCTTGGGATATTCCTGGAGGTGAGCCATTGTCTTAACTTTTCTACATACTATTAGTGTCTGTTATCAGTGCAACTTACTGCGCTAAATTACTGCACTTTATCAATGCACTTACTGCACTAAATTCAACAAAATGTGACTTCCTATGTCTCTGAATTTGTTATCTGATCCTCTAAACCGGCTGACGCACAGTCTGGAGGTGATACACCTTAGCAGGAGCTCAGGTGATCAGATATGCTTATTTATCACCTGTCCTGTCCGCTCCCTGGACAAAGTATGCCAAAGGGTGTCTTATCTTTCAAAGGTCATGGGCACAATGAGAGGATTCTGAGTATGTTCAATCACAAACCCATTATCTTGTTTGCCAGACTTTCTGAGCTGAACACGAAACAAGTGTTGAATATAATGTGCAGTATGAGTCACAGGGTAACCTTTCACATCATGTCCATCTCCCTGTATTAAGATCACTATAGAGCGAGAAAGAATAACCATTGTTCTGGTTGTTTTTATGACCTCTGAGTTGGTGAGGCAATTGCTCTAAACCACTCATGGATAGTGTGCTATTGCTTGTTCGTTCTAAGCATGTTTCTGGAGCTTTTTAATTGCATTTGATGATTCCCCATATCCTTTTGATGGAGGCAATGTTCATCATGAAGCTACCGTGTTGTGTGCCATTAGACTGTAGGAATGTAGGAACTGATATTATAGAGTGTTGCAATTCTCTTGCATTGCGGTAAATGGCACCGTTTCTAAATAAGTGAGAAACGCACAGTCCTGTTGCGTGATCTGCTGCTGTCCATTGGTTACCTTGCTGAAAGCTGGTCTGAGCGAGAAGATCTTTAGTTAACGAGTTCCCCTATTTACCCAGTTTATCGTCTGGGTACTAGATATATTTTGTGTTCGCTTACAGAGTAGAGCTTTTGAGTGTAAACTTGCTCCAAAGGTTTCCTGTGACTTGGAACATTTTTGTTCGCTCTTGTTTTCTGGGATTTCCAATTGGAAGTCCAGTTTCTTGGTAATTTAATTCTGATTGAATTGCGATCACACAGTGTGACGGTAAGTAAACTGGCCTTCGAGTTATTAAACTCTGATCTGTTTGTTTTGAAGGTATAATGCCCGGCCGATATAACCAAGATGTGGGACAGACCATTCCGGTCTTTGCTTTCCTCGGTGCTATGGTGGTGCTGGCCTTCTTTGTGGTGCAAATTAACAAATCGAAGAGCAAGCCAAAGAGACGGAAGCCACGAGTTAAACGCCCGCTACTACTGCAGCAGGTGCACCCGCCAAAAACCCCGTCCGTGTGACAACACCAGCCACATTCGCAAGGACACAGAGAGTTGTGCTGTGGGCTGCTCCAATGGCCACAGGTTTCTTTTGCAAATGATACCCAGTGAAGGTGGCTGATAGCACGGCTCGTGTCAAAAGAGCAGACACGCAAATACCATTGGCCGAATGGAGGAGACCTTTTGAAGCAATCACACTTACCAAAGACGTTGCATTTGGTTGATAACTATTTATATTTCCCTGGGAACTGTTCCAAACCCACTCAGTCAGTGGATACTGGGAAACTCTTTCTTCATTTCTTGGTTTTATTTCATGTGTAATCATGTAGGACGTTCATTCCTGATGGGAGCGATTATTGTTTCAAATGTATTTTGTAATATGAATTCCACGATCCAACCATGGTTTATGCAAAGATTGAATTGCGGACTTTCAACAAATGAATGACGGTGTGATCTGGCAAGAATGATGGACTGAGGGGAAAGTGCACCCTGTTGAGGCGGGGAGGGGGATGTGGGGCTCTGTGCTTGAATTGACTTATTTTTATAAAATGGAAATACCATAACATTCTGTAAATATTTAAGATGGCAGTTCAACGACGTACTTTCACCATTGTCGGTGGAATAAATTTACAGGCTCTGCAAATGCATTGTATGGGTGGAAGCCTCTTATGTTCCTGATTGCTCTCGAGCTACGCAAAGAAATTGTACTCCCCACCGCACACGTAATAAGTGTGGAATGGTGAGCTGCTGATTGGAGTTCATTGTGTTTGTTCGCAAAGGGCACTAACAGGTAATGTTGGCTACTTGCCCACTCTCTGACGTTTTTTGCCAGTGCTGATTGTTGATGAGGTCATTTCTTTGTACAGTTTCACAGTGACCTGAAATTTGATCGTATGTTTCGGGGGAATGGCGTAAATCATAGAAGAGCTCCAAGGGGTTTATGGATGCTATTTGAACTTTCAGGTTTGTGGGTGGGTGCAGTTAACGGATTAACTGGAGACCTCTTTATTTCAAATGATATTCAACAAACTACTCATTGTTCACAAGCCTGAAGCTACAATATGAAAAGTCAAGCTATTAAGAGATGAAACAATTGGCAACCTCCTGCGTTTCTAGTTTAAAAAAACCAAAGGCTTTATTGGTGTGCTGCAGCTTTGGTTGAAACATTTCCCAGAAGTGATTCGCATTGTTTTTTCATCATAACGCCGATGCTAGATTTTAATAATAATAATAATAATAATAATCCTTGCATTTGATATAGCGCTTTTCACGTCGGGAGGACGTCCCAAAGCGCTTCACAGAACACACTGTAAAGTGAATTGACTGTATATTTGTGGGCGAACGCGGCAGCCAATTGCGCACAGCAATGTCCCACAAACAGTCGTAGATTGAAAATGACCAATTTAATTATTGTTTTTAGTTTTGGAGGGATTATTATTAGGCGTGTGGAGTAAGGAAACTTGCCCAAGGTTTCACCCTCTGCCTGGAATTTTGTGCTATTTGTGCAGAACATCCACGAGAGGGTGCTTTCTTTTCATTAGAAATTTCTATCCTTTTTCTCCTCCCGGATCAGGTTTGAGAGCTGCCAACTTATTTAGGAAAAGGTTATTAAAGTTATTTGAAACTATAACAAAGAGGGTGGGTACTGCATCATGATTTTCAGAAGGTTAAATTGGGAAGTAATTATTAAATGGTTCAGATGAATTGCGGAGAGTCTGATAACTCTCAGGATTCAGCCACTGAAGCTCTGCTGTTTGTAAGTCATTCATTCCTTGATTCAGGTATTATAAGAATGTCTAAGCCAAATGGTGGGGCAAATCAGGAAATGGCGCATAATTTCCACCAATGTTGGCGCATTGACAAAATAATGAGCAGAGGTGGTTTGAAATTATTGCCTTTTCCAAGGCAAGTTTCATATAGCACTCAAGTTCTGTTGCATAATTGAGATAAGGTTTTATAAAAATTTCAAAACCACACTACTCCCCTGCAGACTTCCGTCCACTGCTCCGGTCTGAACCACTGATTGTCCAGCGCCTTGGGACGTCCTCCCACCGTGAAAGGCGCTATATCAATGTAATTTTGTTGGTTGTTGTTGTAAATACCAGGAAACCACAAGAGTGAAAGTGAAAGAGAAAGAACTAGTTCAGGGAGAGTAGGCGCTGAAAGTCAGATCTATGGATACTCTTTGTTAAAGACAGTCTGCATTTCGACTCCTCGGCAGTGTGATAACAAGATGGAAATCATTGCTTACGAGGCGACCAGTAGAAGGTTTCAGTTTCTTACCAAAGCTTATAAGGGAACAGGTAAAAAGCTATTTTTCAGAATGTATTGCTATTCATAGGTACTGTAAGGCCTTTATTTAATAATGGCTCTTGTGATGTTGGTAGAGTATCATTCTGAACATGTTTAAATCAACAGTGGTTGAACCAATTACTGTCAAAGAAGCAGAGGAAGGAATCCAGGCAAAAGGCCTCAGAAGTCTTTTTCTAAGGAGAAGCGGGTGATGAGTCGAGGCTCATCAGTCTCGGAATCATTATGATTGAGTGTTAGTAGGAAAGTGAGATGGATGCCACCTAATTACCAATCCATCTATTGGTGATTAGGTGGCATCAAGCTGCGTATGTATCAGGATGGCATCAGGGTGCAATGTAAAAACAGCCTTTGTCTTCATTTTAAATCTTGTTTCAATCTGAAAGTTTGTTCTGAGGAACTGAATCAAAATGGAACTGAAAGAGAATGGCGACAGCAGCCTCTCCATTTATGGCTCTGCACATAAAAGCTATTGTTTAAACTGTGCCAAACTCAATTCCTGGTATGGGCTTGAGTTAGAACTGAGATACTTGAGTACTACAATTGGTCTCAGTGAGCTGAAGTAAAGAGAGGTGAGTAGGGGGTGTAGAAAGTCACGTACGGTTGAACCTGACTGTAATGAACTCTGCTTTCTCTTTGACCGTGCCTTCAGCTCCCCTCTCGACTCTCTTCCCCTCCTCGCTCCCTCCCTTCCCTCCCCTCACCCTGACCATTTCCCCCCTCCTCGCTCCCTCCCTTCCCTCCCCTCACCCTGACCATTTCCCCCCTGCTCGGGTCATGACCCAACTGTGCAGCGCCTTGGGACGTCCTCCTGACGTGAAAGGCGCTTTATAAATGGAATCTTGTTGTTGTTGTTGTTGTTGCTTATAAACAAACCCCTGTTTTTAACAATCCCAAAGGCAATGCCTGACCTTTGCACCAGTTTGACAGCCAAACCTTACTATAGTGAATGCCCTGATATAACGATCTTCTGATAATCCTGAGGGATTTGCCTTTCTCCATGAACTCTTCAGTTAAGTAGCTTCCAACTGATTTGTGGAGAGTGCAGTTTTGAGATTGACAGTACTTTGAGTTGCGCCTCATGACTCGTGGTTGCTTCTGTTCTGTTTTGCAGGGGGTCGTTTGTGTACAGCATCATGTGGCCATTTGGTGGAGTCCAAGGGCCTGAACAAATGGTGTGAGGCGGTTCTGAATGAGGTGAGGTCAGGGTGCACCAGAATTATTTAAGCTTTGTGGGTTTTACTCGCTGATTAATTAAATCTCATATCTGGTCTTAATTGTGAGGAGGGTCTCTCCCAATAACCTCTCAAAAACGTGTACCAAAGAGTCATGAGATGTGAGACTCCACTCATCAGTTGACAAGTGGTGACCGAGCAGTTCACACGGTAAGAGGAGAAAACAACTCACCGATGGTTCAATAAAGCTATTGATCACTAGGTTTGCATTTTGACTTGAGGTACTGACGCTGGGATCTGCCTATCTTTGAACAGTGTTCCTTTCCGTTCTCTCACTGGACCACAAAGGAGAGGAAACAGAATTGAACGCCATCTCTGGCACAACTTCATTCTCTGAAGCTGAAATTAATAGATATATGGCAGAAACTATCTTAACGCTGTGTTACATTGCAGCCAATTACTCATCTGGATATTAAATGGAAGAATGTAGCCTGTGGTCGTGTAGTCTTTACTGTGGTTTTAACACTTGATAATTCTCTGCAGGTCACTTGGTGTTTAAATGCCCAAAGTGCTGTAAAGTTTGGCTCTGGCAGGAGGTATGTGCACTGGCCTGCCTAACGCAGGAAGAGCGGAGCTCCTGTGAGGAGATAATCAGCAGGATAACAACACAAGCGGATGAATCTTTCAAAAAGGTAAAGTTCAGGATGCAAGATTGTCCAAATCATTGGGAGAAACTGCCTTCTGTTTGAATAATCACAGAATTGCAGCCGAGTGTAATCCATGTCTTCATGCTATCTCTAGTCCTTGGATTCCTGTAACAATTCCGTTACATTGGAATTGCCAAATTCAAATTGCCGGGTGATCTATGCCGTTCCCTTTTTTATGGATCTCAATTGAGTTCCTCTGCCCTCTGTCCACTTTCTCCTCTTTTCTCTGGTTCTCAATCGCGTTCCTCTGCCCTCTGTCCCATTTCTCCTGCTCCAGTATCGTAAGATACTGTCTCTTGAACTGATCAGCGGATCGGCTCAAGACACAAGCGGGATGGTTCCTCCCAACGTCTCTGCAGCTCAACCTGCTACAGAGTGTCGTCTCGTTCGAGTGACTGCAGGGCTGTTCCCCTGTCTACCTCCGCTGAGTCTCGTTCTCTCTTGACTATTTCACTCCTATACTTATACCTCTCTAGCAGTGTCTGGCCAATAACCAGATCTTTCCTGGTCAGTGTCCTGTACTTCCTAACTCTTGATTTGTGCCCTTTAATGTGATCACACTCTTATCAGGAATGGCTTTAGCTCATCATTCCTGTATAGTGTTGTTTTATCTTAGCTCGTTTCTTTGATTTAATTAACCAAAAACAATGTGGCCCATTGTAAATGCCCCAACCCTTGTCTTCCCTTATCTCTCTCCTGTAGCTGCCTTTAATTGGCCTGTACCCATTGGAGATGGTATCCCTTGCATTCTAGCATTCTTTCCTGTTCCCGTGGCCATCTTCCCCCGGTCTCCCTAATCTCTACGCACCTTTCTTTCCCAGACCTTGAGACTACTTGCTTCTCACAATGATGGGTTGTTCCTAGCAGGGTTATCTGAGAATGCACCAGCTTGTTATCTGAGGTCGGCAGCTCTTTGAGCCTTCTAACTGACTCTAGTCAAACAGGCTGTTTCCTGATATTTGCTTTTGATATTACCATATTTTTACATTCGGACTGGACTATGGTGGATTCTATGTGTGTATCTCTCTTGCTCTCTGTCTCTCTGATTGCCTCGGTTTGTGTGTGCATCTCTCTGTCTCTCTACTTACCTGCCACAGGTCTGTCCACCTCATGCTGCTTGAATATAATCAATTATCTTGTATTCACATCCTCATCAAATAGCCAGTGAAAATGAAGTGACAGATGTTGATCTGTTCGGCTGATAATCCGTTTTACTTCTTGTACCTCACTCAAGTTAATCCTTGCAATTGATACGCAGCCCTTGTGAATGTTTTGAAGTTTCACAGATTATTGCAGACAAATCTATTTGTAGACAAAACACAAGATTGTGCACACACATCAAGGTGCAACAAATGAGCACTGTTATCTGGAAGATTGTCCAAATCATTGGGAGAAACTGCCTTCTGTTTGAATAATCACAGAATTGCAGCCGAGTGTAATCCATGTCTTCATGCTATCTCTAGTCCTTGGATTCCTGTAGCTCAGTGATTAGAACACTCACCTCGCAAGCGAGAGACCTGGTTTGATTTCTGGCAGGGTGAAACGTTGGGCAAGTTTCCTTACTCCACACGCCTCTGTTTACCAAGCAATAAGTAGGAACCCGGTTGTTAGACGATTGTTGGATCGCTTTTCCGGGAGTAATAATTTATTCCAAAAATAATTATAATAATAATTTGATCAGTCAGTCCATGACTGTTTGTGGACATTGCTGTGTCCAATTGGCTGCTGCTTTTTGCCCCAAAAATATACAGTTAATTCACTTTACAGTATATTCTGTGAAGTGCTTTGAGACATCTCGAAGATGTGATCAGGCACTATATGAAATGCAAGGATTATTATTATCTACAAATGCTGTCCCAAAAGGAATCAGCAGAGTGAATTTCGATTGACCATCATAATAATAATCCTTGCACATAGTGCCTTATCATGTTGTTGAGATGCCTCAAAGTGCTTCACATGATACACTGCAAAGTGAATTGACTGTATTTTGTGGGCAAAACCTAGCAGCCAATCTCCCTTATTTGAATCCAGGATTCTGAGACAGACTGTAGTTCTCTTCAATGCCGTCTTGATTGAGATTGGATTGCAGCACAGGGCGAGGAATGAACATGGTAGCTTCTTGGTCTGGAAAGCCCAGCTATTTACTGGATAACTTGTTGAATAGCTTTCCTCATGGTCACTTGTGGGAACTTGTTGTGCACAAAATGATTGCCTTCAAGGTAGCTAGGGAGCCTGAATTCTCCAAAGCTGCAGGGAATTGTTGAGGAATCAATATTGCGCTCAACCGAAGGGGACAATAGTGTGACTAATGGTATGCTTTGTCCTCAGTGTCCAGAATGTGGTCTGTATGTACAGAGAGTGGACCTGGAGAAGCTGTCTGCGGAGTGTCTGCCGTGCTCTGAGACAAAAAAGAAAGTCTTTGTGTTTTGCTTTGACTGCCTGAGGGAATGGAGGAATCCTGATGTGCAGAGCAACTCATGCGGTAATGGTGCCTGCACGTTTACAGCCCTGCTCCAAGGCTGTCCCACGATCAACGTACAGAATACTGTTGTGCACGGGTGCCCAAAAGTGCGAGCCTGCCCTAACTGTGAGGCGTTAACACAACACTGCCTAGAAGGCTGCAGCAATATTGACTGCCCCAACTGCAATTATACATTCTGTTTTCGGTGCCTTGGCTTGAATGGAAATCACACAAGAGGTTTACAGGGCTGTTCTATAGCTGAACGCCAAAAGGTATTGGGCAATAAAGTTTACAAGAAAAGAGAGAAAAACATTCGAGCATATCTCTTACTGCAAGCTCAGTTAGAAATGGAAAACAGATGGGCTCAGTTACAAATGCACAGAGTTACCAGAGCTGATGGACCTCAGCAGCCAAGTAATCAACCTTGAGAAATCTGAATGGTTTGCTGACGACTTGGGAGCTGGTTGCTTGACAGCCGGTGGAGGTTGTCTCAGCTTTTACTGTAGGAGTTTGTCTATTCCAGTGAAACCAAGTCCCATAAATGGGGACTTGGCAGGTGGTGGTAGGTCTTGAACAGACCCAACACCAAGTGTCAGCTAATCACTCCTGAGAAATGTTTTTTGCATGTTTCTTAAATTTTGCAACAGAACTGATATTCCCAACCTTGTAGAGCATCTCAACAGCCTCATAGCTGTAGATAATAGAGACCTCTGTGAGATTCCCAGCCAAGCCTGTAAATGAGCGAAGGACCTTCTTCATCCAAACTTCTCTCGTGAACCTCATAGGATGTGTATAGCCTGTAAGTGATATCCCTTGTTCAGGGAATGAACTGTACACTAACATGGTGGCCTTGCAATCGTGCAGGTGTGTGGCCACTTTGTTTGTGAAAACAGATATTGCCTGTCTAGAACTGCTCTTGCTGTACATCTCAGAGTGTAAGATCAGCTTTGTCTGGCTTGCTAACCTTCCTCAATCGTGAGAGAAATGCACGCAACTCGTATTGTGCAAAAGGAACACTTTGATAGACTGTAATGCTTTGGTTATTTTCTTTTTCTCAATAAAGCAAATTGTATGACAGGCTCGAGCTCTTTATTATACACACGCACCATTCTTTTAATCTTTCAAATAGACTCTCTCCCCGTCCGTTTTTTCTTACTGATTCCCTCCACAATTAAAACATTTTTGAATTGTTTCTCTCTCCCTCCTTAAAAAGATTTTTTTCACATTGTGAAGAGGGTTTAGCTTCTGTGGCCTCTCTTCATGTCTCATTGACATAAGATCTGTGACTCAGCCTCACATTTTGTGATTATTTTTCTCATTAATCAGCCAAATTAACTGGCATTGTAGGTGGAAGCCTCTTATGTTCCTGATTGCTCTCGAGCTACGCAAAGAGATTGTACTCCCCACCGCACACGTAATAAGTGTGGAATGGTGAGCTGCTGATTGGAGTTCAACGTGTTTGTTCGCAAAGGACACTAACAGGTAATGTTGGCTACTTGCCCACTCTCTGACGTTTTTTGCCAGTGCTGATTGTTGATGAGGTCATTTCTTTGTACAGTTTCACAGTGACCTGAAATTTGACTGCATGTTTCGGGGGAACGGCGTAAATCATAGAAGAGCTCCAAGGGGTTTATGGATGCTATTTGAACTTTCAAGTCTGTGGGTGGGTGCAGTTAAGGATTAACTGGAGACCTCTTTATTTCAAATGATATTCAACAAACTACTCATTGTTCACAAGCCTGAAGCTACAATATGAAAAGTCAAGCTATTTAGAGATAAAACAATTGGCAACCTCCTGCGTTTCTAGTTTAAAAAAACCAAAGGCTTTATTGGTGTGCTGCAGCTTTGGTTGAAACATTTCCCAGAAGTGATTCGCATTGTTTTTTCATCATAACGCCGATGCTAGATTTTGTGCTATTTGTGCAGAACATCCACGAGAGGGTGCTTTCTTTTCATTAGAAATTTCTATCCTTTTTCTCCTCCCGGATCAGGTTTGAGAGCTGCCAACTTATTTAGGAAAAGGTTATTAAAGTTATTTGAAACTATAACAAAGAGGGTGGGTACTGCATCATGATTTTCAGAAGGTTAAATTGGGAAGTAATTATTAAATGGTTCAGATGAATTGCGGAGAGTCTGATAACTCTCAGGAATCAGCCACTGAAGCTCTGCTGTTTGTAAGTCATTCATTCCTTGATTCAGGTATTATAAGAATGTCTAAGCCAAATGGTGGGGCAAATCAGGAAATGGCGCATAATTTCCACCAATGTTGGCGCATTGACAAAATAATGAGCAGAGGTGGTTTGAAACTATTGCCTTTTCCAAGGCAACAGTTTCATATAGCACTCAAGTTCTGTTGCATAATTGAGATAAGGTTTTATAAAAATTTCAAAACCACACTACTCCCCTGCAGACTTCCGTCCACTGCTCCGGTCTGAACCACTGATTGTCCAGCGCCTTGGGACGTCCTCCCACCGTGAAAGGCGCTATATCAATGTAATTTTGTTGGTTGTTGTTGTAAATACCAGGAAACCACAAGAGTGAAAGTGAAAGAGAAAGAACTAGTTCAGGGAGAGTAGGCGCTGAAAGTCAGATCTATGGATACTCTTTGTTAAAGACGGTCTGCATTTCGACTCCTCGGCAGTGTGATAACAAGATGGAAATCATTGCTTACGAGGCGACCAGTAGAAGGTTTCAGTTTCTTACCAAAGCTTATAAGGGAACAGGTAAAAAGCTATTTTTCAGAATGTATTGCTATTCATAGGTACTGTAAGGCCTTTATTTAATAATGGCTCTTGTGATGTTGGTAGAGTATCATTCTGAACATGTTTAAATCAACAGTGGTTGAACCAATTACTGTCAAAGAAGCAGAGGAAGGAATCCAGGCAAAAGGCCTCAGAAGTCTTTTTCTAAGGAGAAGCGGGTGATGAGTCGAGGCTCATCAGTCTCGGAATCATTATAATTGAGTGTTAGTAGGAAAGTGAGATGGATGCCACCTAATTACCAATCCATCTATTGGTGATTAGGTGGCATCAAGCTGCGTATGTATCAGGATGGCATCAGGGTGCAATGTAAAAACTCAGCCTTTGTCTTCATTTTAAATCTTGTTTCAATCTGAAAGTTTGTTCTGAGGAACTGAATCAAAATGGAACTGAAAGAGAATGGCGACAGCAGCCTCTCCATTTATGGCTCTGCACATAAAAGCTATTGTTTAAACTGTGCCAAACTCAATTCCTGGTATGGGCTTGAGTTAGAACTGAGATACTTGAGTACTACAATTGGTCTCAGTGAGCTGAAGTAAAGAGAGGTGAGTAGGGGGTGTAGAAAGTCACGTACGGTTGAACCTGACTGTAATGAACTCTGCTTTCTCTTTGACCGTGCCTTCAGCTCCCCTCTCGACTCTCTTCCCCCTCCTCGCTCCCTCCCTTCCCTCCCCTCACCCTGACCATTTCGCCCCTCCTCGCTCCCTCCCTTCCCTCCCCTCACCCTGACCATTTCCCCCCTGCTCGGGTCATGACCCAACTGTGCAGCGCCTTGGGACGTCCTCCTGACGTGAAAGGCGCTTTATAAATGGAATCTTGTTGTTGTTGTTGTTGCTTATAAACAAACCCCTGTTTTTAACAATCCCAAAGGCAATGCCTGACCTTTGCACCAGTTTGACAGCCAAACCTTACTATAGTGAATGCCCTGATATAACGATCTTCTGATAATCCTGAGGGATTTGCCTTTCTCCATGAACTCTTCAGTTAAGTAGCTTCCAACTGATTTGTGGAGAGTGCAGTTTTGAGATTGACAGTACTTTGAGTTGCGCCTCATGACTCGTGGTTGCTTCTGTTCTGTTTTGCAGGGGTCGTTTGTGTACAGCATCATGTGGCCATTTGGTGGAGTCCAAGGGCCTGAACAAATGGTGTGAGGCGGTTCTGAATGAGGTGAGGTCAGGGTGCACCAGAATTATTTAAGCTTTGTGGGTTTTACTCGCTGATTAATTAAATCTCATATCTGGTCTTAATTGTGAGGAGGGTCTCTCCCAATAACCTCTCAAAAACGTGTACCAAAGAGTCATGAGATGTGAGACTCCACTCATCAGTTGACAAGTGGTGACCGAGCAGTTCACACGGTAAGAGGAGAAAACAACTCACCGATGGTTCAATAAAGCTATTGATCACTAAGTTTGCATTTTGACTTGAGGTACTGACGCTGGGATCTGCCTATCTTTGAACAGTGTTCCTTTCCGTTCTCTCACTGGACCACAAAGGAGAGGGAACAGAATTGAACGCCATCTCTGGCACAACTTCATTCTCTGAAGCTGAAATTAATAGATATATGGCAGAAACTATCTTAACGCTGTGTTACATTGCAGCCAATTACTCATCTGGATATTAAATGGAAGAATGTAGCCTGTGGTCGTGTAGTCTTTACTGTGGTTTTAACACTTGATAATTCTCTGCAGGGTCACTTGGTGTTTAAATGCCCAAAGTGCTGTAAAGTTTGGCTCTGGCAGGAGGTATGTGCACTGGCCTGCCTAACGCAGGAAGAGCGGAGCTCCTGTGAGGAGATAATCAGCAGGATAACAACACAAGCGGATGAATCTTTCAAAAAGGTAAAGTTCAGGATGCAAGATTGTCCAAATCATTGGGAGAAACTGCCTTCTGTTTGAATAATCACAGAATTGCAGCCGAGTGTAATCCATGTCTTCATGCTATCTCTAGTCCTTGGATTCCTGTAACAATTCCGTTACATTGGAATTGCCAAATTCAAATTGCCGGGTGATCTATGCCGTTCCCNTTTTTATGGATCTCAATTGAGTTCCTCTGCCCTCTGTCCACTTTCTCCTCTTTTCTCTGGTTCTCAATCGCGTTCCTCTGCCCTCTGTCCCATTTCTCCTGCTCCAGTATCGTAAGATACTGTCTCTTGAACTGATCAGCGGATCGGCTCAAGACACAAGCGGGATGGTTCCTCCCAACGTCTCTGCAGCTCAACCTGCTACAGAGTGTCGTCTCGTTCGAGTGACTGCAGGGCTGTTCCCCTGTCTACCTCCGCTGAGTCTCGTTCTCTCTTGACTATTTCACTCCTATACTTATACCTCTCTAGCAGTGTCTGGCCAATAACCAGATCTTTCCTGGTCAGTGTCCTGTACTTCCTAACTCTTGATTTGTGCCCTTTAATGTGATCACACTCTTATCAGGAATGGCTTTAGCTCATCATTCCTGTATAGTGTTGTTTTATCTTAGCTCGTTTCTTTGATTTAATTAACCAAAAACAATGTGGCCCATTGTAAATGCCCCAACCCTTGTCTTCCCTTATCTCTCTCCTGTAGCTGCCTTTAATTGGCCTGTACCCATTGGAGATGGTATCCCTTGCATTCTAGCATTCTTTCCTGTTCCCGTGGCCATCTTCCCCCGGTCTCCCTAATCTCTACGCACCTTTCTTTCCCAGACCTTGAGACTACTTGCTTCTCACAATGATGGGTTGTTCCTAGCAGGGTTATCTGAGAATGCACCAGCTTGTTATCTGAGGTCGGCAGCTCTTTGAGCCTTCTAACTGACTCTAGTCAAACAGGCTGTTTCCTGATATTTGCTTTTGATATTACCATATTTTTACATTCGGACTGGACTATGGTGGATTCTATGTGTGTATCTCTCTTGCTCTCTGTCTCTCTGATTGCCTCGGTTTGTGTGTGCATCTCTCTGTCTCTCTACTTACCTGCCACAGGTCTGTCCACCTCATGCTGCTTGAATATAATCAATTATCTTGTATTCACATCCTCATCAAATAGCCAGTGAAAATGAAGTGACAGATGTTGATCTGTTCGGCTGATAATCCGTTTTACTTCTTGTCCCTCACTCAAGTTAATCCTTGCATTTGATACACAGCCCTTGTGAATGTTTTGAAGTTTCACAGATTATTGCAGACAAATCTATTTGTAGACAAAACACAAGATTGTGCACACACATCAAGGTGCAACAAATGAGCACTGTTATCTGGAAGATTGTCCAAATCATTGGGAGAAACTGCCTTCTGTTTGAATAATCACAGAATTGCAGCCGAGTGTAATCCATGTCTTCATGCTATCTCTAGTCCTAGGATTCATGTAGCTCAGTGATTAGAACACTCGCCTCGCAAGCGAGAGACCTGGTTTGATTTCTGGCAGGGTGAAACATTGGGCAAGTTTCCTTACTCCACACACCTCTGTTTACCAAGCAATAAGTAGGAACCCGGTTGTTAGACGATTGTTGGATCGCTTTTCCGGGGGTAATAATTCATTCCAAAAATAATTATAATAATAATTTGATCAGTCAGTCCATGACTGTTTGTGGACATTGCTGTGTCCAATTG